AAGAAGGTACAATGGAGATACAATAGATATTAATCCAGACGTTGCCACAGATATATCGATATAGGTACAGTTCTAGGTAGGGATACGGATATAGATAGACCATAAAGGTAGGCCTAGATTCTGATACAGATAGAGGTATGGATATGGATCCTGATATAGGTATCATACAAGCCCAGAATGATTGTGTGTGTACTGTTCATATTGAGTGATTCGTGTGCTTTTTCATCATTGCTTTGTTGCGTAACCTGTGTTGACACAGTTGTCAGCACCCTTTAAGGGGGACTGTGTGGTTTTTGATGGGGCGCAAATGGTATAAACCTAGCTGTTCTGCAAAAACATTAGGTCTTGGACTTCTAGGATCGCTCTGATGATCCTTACTAATGAAGGTAGGCTAATACACCAAGCTCCTACATTTCCAAAACTCTCAAAGACAGCCACAGGTTCTCTTCCTCGGTGCCTTGATTGCTTGTTGCGGGACCCCACCCGCTAATTTGACTGTCCAACCCCCAAAAATCCAAGTACACAATAAATAGATTCCAATTTCCTAACCTACAAAACTACTATCCTAAAACCGAGTACCTAATTATTCAGGTCCAGATAATAAAACCCTAATAGTAGCCCTTTTAAAGGAACCTTGTGGAACCCTTTAAAAGAACCCTAATTATTGGGTCCTTTGGACCCTTGGGGAACCATTAGGTGCTACAGTGCGGTAGTAGAGTAGGTAACCTTTAGCCTTTTTTGGGTAGTATAGTCCCTATATGATCCTTGTATAACCAAAAAGTTAACCTTTAGTTCCCCAATGATACCCGACCAGTAGGTTAAGGAGTAACCCCTAACCCCTAAACCCATGATACTATAGATATAGCAAGGGACCCTACACGACAAGTAAGAGGGGCTACTTGGAGGGCCGGGGGACTTAGTAAGTAGGTAGAAAGTAGACTTATAAGTACCCTAAAAGGGACCTTAATTGGGGTTATGGTACTTATAAGTCCCTAAAATAACCAGTTACTAACTCCCCCGACCCTCCAAGTACAGTTCTGGGGTCACATTTAAGGCACATCCTTGAGAGGCTGAAAGGGTTGTGCTCCCTGTGTCAAGGATCCCCAACCGAGAGACTCAAAAACAGGAATACACCTTTAGATTATAGTAGGACCCCTATAGTAGATTCCTTGAGATCATAGTAGGACCCTTAGTATGGTTTTAGGTATGTTAGTGAGTTTCAGTTGGGAATATAGTCCGGAGAAGCCTTTGTCCGGCATTTACAACCCTACTTGCGGTCCACCGGCTAAGTCCCTCGATTCGTAACCTTACGGAAGCCCGTACCCAGACTATTCATACTTCGAGTCCCGATATGGTGTTCGAAAATTAAATTCCTAGCGGGTTCGCTGCCTGCCTGAAAAATTCAGTTGATTCTTTAAGTCGTTAAGTATACCGTCCCAGAATGCTGGACGGTGGTGTCCAAATACGCGAACAGTACTACGGTTTTGGAATGAGGGAGCAAGCACCGACATGGTCCATGGTGTTCTGAGTGGTTTTGGCCCTGCTGCTTCAGTGCAGACCCTTGTGCCAAACCCCTCAGCGCGACCTGCCCCCAGTTCCCTTTTGTGATAATCACCAAAACCCTGTGCCAAATATCAAGACCTCTACATCGCAAGATACTAAACTCATCTCATCCCCGAATGAACCACTCCAAGGGCTAACCAGGGATCCTCAACCCTCGAACCTTAAGGCTCCATGTGCTCATCTGGCATAGACTTTGGCCCTAAAGTACCTAAGCAGGAACTAGGACCCAGAGTAGGCCCTTATTCCCTTTTTTAAGGTTTCGGTTCTCTTATAACCCCCTTTAACTCAAAAAGGGCACCCTTTTTATTCCTAGGTTACTCTTGGGTCTAGGGAACCCCTTTACGGCCTAAGTATATACTATATGGGCACATGGATCCTGAGGGAAACCAACAGCCCAGAGACTCCCAAACGCCTTACTTAAAGAATATACGTTCTTAAATCATAATAGGAACCATCATATGGCTTAAGGTATATTCCTTAATAAGGGGTTTTGGAGTCTGCGGGGGTCATATTTCGCTACAAGTATAGTTACCAGTTACCAATACTAAGTCCCATAAACCTTCAGTTATGGAAATCCACAACCTGCTAGGGCGCGGGCAAGTGGGTCTTCTCTGCGCTGTTGCGCAGCATGCTGCACCAGCGGAGTGCAGAGTCCGACGAGACAGACCTGCCGCACGGCCTGCAGGATTCAGCACGTTTCAGGGCTTTACTTCAGGGCTTCAAGGATTTAGCTGTGTAGGGTTCATCAGGCAATATCAGGCTTAGGATTTTGAGGGGTTTATCGAGTTTCGGATTCATGGTGTTGTGGTTTGATCAGGTCTGTAGGGTTTACAGGGCTGAGCTGTAGGGTCTGCAGGGCTGATAGGACGGGTTTAGGGCTTAGTCTTTAGGGTTAGGGTTAAGGGTTCACATCATAGCCACAGTCTACGTCTTACCGCACGAACCACAGACCCAATCGCTCGCTCGGGGGAAAGCCTTCGCAAGCCTCCGGACTCTGCGGTAGTGAAGACCCCCATGAATGTATGTCTTTAGTGGTTGGGCCTCTATTTATTCAAATCCCAACTGCTACGTTAACCATAGATTACAGCCCGTCCATTCCCAAGGCCGTGGCTCCTTAACCCTCAGTTCCAACATCAGATGATCTTCGATTCATCATCTACCTGATCCACCTTCATGGTCATGGCCATAATCAATATGTTAAAAGTGTCATACTCAAAACCATCACCATCAAAAACAACATCAATGTCACCATCATCGACCTGACTCCGTTGCTTCGGCATTTCGGTGTGCGGTTTTGCAACGAGCTTCTTCCCCAGAAGCCCGAACGGTAACCGTATATTGTCTACAAGAAGTCACCATGTACAAAGTAGTCATGTTCCTACTGGTTTGACAATTGAATTGTTCCTAGGTTTGACAATTGAACTGTTCCTACGTCTTCAAAGCTCTAACCCCTAAACCCACCTGCTGTTTCCTAAACCCTGAAACCCTAAACCCTAAACCCTAAACCCTAAACCCCTAAACCCTAAACCCTAAACCCTAAACCCTAACCCACCTGCTGTTTTCTAAACCCTGAAGCCCTAAACCTGGAAGCCTGGGTCGCAGGTTCAAGCTGAGCACAACTGCGCGGCCGAACATTGTTGTAAAAACGGCGACTCGGCAGTAGGGCTTTGAGTTTAGGGTTCAGGGGTTTATCGGTTTACCGCTGGAGGGCTAGGCGATACCGCGTTTTCAGAAGCTGAGCCCTCATGTTGAGCAGAGCACGCAGCCTAAGGTATGCGCCTCCCATAATACCAGTTACTACTTAATGTGGTCTCCTGATTCCCAGAGACTCCAAAACCTCTTAATTAAGGAATATTAAGGTATATCCCTTAATTAAGGGGTTTTGGAGTCTCTGGGAAGTTGTTTCGGGGCCGGGGCTCTCAGTAGTAGTACAGTTAGTAGTACGGTAGTACAATAGTACAGTAGTAGCACAGTAGTACAGTCACTGTGTAGCAGGAGTGCTTATTTACCTAAACCTCATAAAATTAACACCGGGACGGGTTTAGGACTATGGAGGGGGCGGGTTATTATTACGTGCAGGCCGAGTTTCGCTCTATTGAGGGGACCTTTAATAATCACGAGCTCACATTACCTACAGATTGTTTACTGCGTTGGACCCCTTGGGGTTAAGCCTATGCAATCCCCAGAACACTATATAACCCCCGAACCCCCAACTCGTGCGGTACCCTTTTTGTCGCAATCAACGCAACCCTTACGGAACGTATTTCAGGATCCCCTAAAGGAGCTCTCTAAGGAACGCCGACATGAACACTTTAAGGAATCCCCCAAAGAAGCCCTTGAAGGACATCGGTACTTTGGACCCTTTGGGTTAAGGAACCCCTTGAAAGAACTCTAAGAACCCAGAGACTCCAATATCCCGTAATTAAGGAATATTCCTCAAGTTATAATAGGATCCCTAATATGATTTAAGGAATATTCCTTAATTAAGGGATATTGGAGTCTCTGGGAAGTCGAGGTGAAGCCTTTCGAAATCAGTGAAGACGCACAGCGGAGTCCGCTGGAGCAGACGGTCATCTCTGTCGCTTGTTACCCTTACTTGGAGGGTCTTTAGGGGACTTAGTAACTCTAGGGGGGTTCCTTTAAAGGGGTCCTTTAAAGGGATCTATAGGGATTCCATAAGGGTATAGGGTTTAGGGTATAGGGGGACTTAGTAACTGGTTATTTTAAGGACTTAGAAGTACCATAACCCCAATTAGGGTCCTTTTCAAGGGTACTTGTAAGTCTACTTACTTCCTACTTACTAAGTCCCCCGACCCTCCAAGTAAGGGTCCAGGTATCTCCTTAGGAGGGTCCGGAATCTCCTAGGGAGAGTCCTTGGGTGTCTTTGGGGTCTCAATTTTGAGGTTCCTCAATTTGTTAGACCCTTAGGGTAGTGAAGGGTTTAGGGTCTGGAGGGTTACGTGTAGAGTTTGGGATTCGGGTTTAGGGCCTAGGGTCTAGGGTTTAAGGTTTAGGGTTTCGGGTTTAAGGTTAAAGTGTAGGGTTCAGGGCTAAGGGTCTGTTTGGTTGACCACACCGAAAAAAGAAACTAGACCCACCTGCACCCGGCAGAGATAGATTTGCATTGAAAGTACGTTTCTTAGGACCCAGGTATACTGTATGACCCGAAGACAAAAGATGTTTCACCCAACGAGGAACACTTATAAATACTGTAGGTGAACCTCAACCGCCAGACCCTGAGCTAATACCTAAAGCCTTAGAGCCGTTCGTCCTACACCCTTACATGAAGTCTGATTTCTACACCCGAACCCTGGAAACTAAACTCTTCAGCGCCTTACCATTAGGGTTCAAAGCCTTAAACCCTTAACTTAACCGTCAACCCCAAACCCTTTTGAACACCTGAGGTCGACTTTCCGGAAACTGACGTTTGCTCTGCTATGGGCTTCGGAAAGCACCTGGGCCTTTCTTTAGCAACGGAATTTAGGTTCAGGATGTCGGGGCGTTGGCGTTTCTACGTAGTGTCAGGGTAGAGCCTTTTGGTCAGAAGGAGCCAGAGCATTCTGGCTTCGGGGCTTCTATGTAACAGCGGCCCAGGTACGTCTGCGGCGATTACGACAGTGGTGAGGAAGAGTTGTGCCTTGGATCGAAGTCCGCTGTCCCACGCTACCAAGTTTTGGGTGTTATTATGCTTAGGGTTTGGGCATAGGGGGTCTTGAATAATTGCCAATAAAGACTTTTGTTGCTCAGGGTTCCTTCATATCTATAATCTATACTACGATGTACTGCGGCCGCTGGACTCAACCCTTCTAGGGACACTCATAATGATGCTTAGGGAAACCCTTTAAAAGTCTCGCTATTCTACTTCGTAACGCCGCTAAATTGTTGGTTGGGGCTCTTAGGGTTCCACAGGCCGGGAGTTAGGATAGTGTTTGTAATACTTGTATAGCTGGCTTACTTGTTGACGTGTTAAAGGACGAACATCCGAAGAAAGACAGTCAGGCATCTGCTCTAGGTAGGGTGCAGAACAAGGCTCTTGGTGACTTCTTGTGGTTTCTCTTCAAAGTCATCTCCAACAGACATACCTTGTGCTGATAAGGTGGGTGTTGAGTGCAAGTTTGTCATTAATGTAGGCAAGTGGAGCTTCGACTGTGAGTGCAAGTTTGTCATTAATGTAGGCAAGTGGAGCTTCGACTGTGCAAAATCTACCCTGAACAAAACCGCCAGCTCCCTTGTTCTCGGCCTGCTGTACGTACCCCTAGAGCCAGACATGCAGATACCTCCATCCCCCCAGGAACGTATAACGAGCCGAACCCGAACCCGAACCAGAACCCTCTCCATTCGGCCTAAAACCGAACCTCGGAAGCTGTGTCGGTTCTGCTTCGGGTTCGGGCCCAGGTGGTGCACTTACTGCAATAACCTGCGTTTTGAAGAAATATGAGCACTTGAACAAGTCTACAGAGCATCTGTAAGACCGCATAGTATAAGAAACAGTTACAGCTCCCCATGAACCTCTTCTCAAATCGTGTTTCTAACAGCTTAAAACTATGCTGCTAAGTCAGATCAAGTCCTGATTGGGGCAGCTTGAACTACTACGGTTGATGATATAAATCCTGCATTACCCATATTATGGAATATACCATAATCCCCATAGATTAGGGCCCTTAAAGTAATGCAGGATTCATACCATCAACAGTAGGTCTCCCAGTTGCACTCTTTCGCCCTAAACGTTAAGCCCGAAACGGAGGGTACCCTTATCAGGGTCCATACATAGTACCATTATGGAATTAGGTCCCCGAAACCATCATGGGGATGGTCTTTTGGGACCTAATTCCATCATGGTAGTGTATATGGACCCTTTGGGTAGTATTGCGGGGCTAAATACTGGGGAACCTCGACTGCGCTCCTTAACGACTCCGGTGTGAGTCGAAGCCAGTCCCCATCCTCCCACCTTCGACAAAACACACATGACAACCCTGAGGGCGACATGAAGCAGTAGCAATATGACAGTAATCCATAATGCCTTGGGGCCCATGTACCACATAGCATATGCAAAGCCCTCAAGGGTTCTCCTGGACAAGATGGATAAAGGGCGCTTAAGGACATACTACATATGTACACGGGCCTAAACCTCAAACCCTAAACCCGCAACCCCCTTCTCCCAGCAACCTTTACTTGCAAGGGGCATGCCTGCCTCCCTAAACCCTTAACCCTATAAGCCTTCTTAGCCCTAAACCCCAAATCCAGCGTAGGCCATAAGTCCTGAACTTAAACGCTAAACCCTGAACTCCTACACCCTAAACCCCAAACCCTAAATAAACCCTAAACCCCAAATAAACACCCTACACCCTAACGCCTAAAGCCTAAACTCCTAAACCCTGAGCTCTCAACCTTAAACCCTAAACAAACCCTAAACCCGAAATACACCCTAAACAAACTCTAAACCATCAACCCTCGCGAGGCTCAACATAAACCCTGAACCCTCGAGAAAACCCTATATACATAGACTTTAAATACATAAACCCTAAACCCTAACTAAACACCCTAAACCCTAAGGCTCCATGTACCCTCATAGTAGATATTTAGGCCTTAAAGTACCTACATAGGGACCACTTTAAGGCCTAAGTATCTACTATACGGGTACATGGAGCCTTTGGGTAAACCCTAAGATCTCCACCCTCGCCAGGCTCAACGGGATCCTTCGCGCCTTGGATGTGGCGAAGTCGTATCCCAGACAAGCCATGGATGCAGTCTCAAAGGCCGGTTTCTGGGCTTTGGAGTACCATACTTTAATACTTTTTTCTTAATGGAACCATTGTGAAATAAAAGTTTATACTTTTTTCTCCTTGGTTACTTAAAAACCCAGGTTTGGGCCCGAAGAGCATGACGCTTGGCTGTTTAGGGGTTATGAGGGTTTCAGGAGCTTTATTAGGGGTTTAGGAGTTTTATTCAGGGTTTAGGGGTTTACGGTTTAAGGGGTTTAGGGTTTAGGGGTTCAGTCAGGGTTTAGGGCTTAAGGGGTGTAGGGGTCTAGGGTTTCGAGCATACGGGGTTCAGGGTTGATGGGCTGAGGGGCTTAGGGTTTCGGTTTTGGATCAGGGGTTTAGGGGTTTAGGGTAAGGGTTCCGAAGTTCCGAAGGTGGGATGAATGTAGGTATAGGAGTCCAGATATAAGCAATCCTTGATCTTACCTACCTTCATCCCACCTTTTGAGGCTTCGAAGGTTCCGAGGATCCCTTATCTAAGGAAGCAACCCTGAGCCCTAAACCATACCAGAAGGGTCCTAAGTACCTATATTGTAGAAGGTAGGGTGTCTGTGTTAGGAATTACTATTATGATTTGGGGAGTATCCCCCATGACGGTACCTAGGACTCTTTGGGATAGTACTCCATTGTGGTTGCCTGATTCTGTTATTCGACGGTCCTAACCATGAAATAGGATGGTTTTATGGTTTTAGTGTTTAGGCTTTAGGCTCCAGGAAACTAGGGAATATGGCCTGAGTTAAGCCCTAAACCCTATACCCGGAGTGTCTTACGTCGAGTTACGGAACTATTTCTTGATGGATAGGTTTGGGCATCCCGTCGTTTTAGGGTTTACCAGGACCCCCCAAGTACCCCTTTAAAGGGCTCTAATGTTTCTCATTAAGAGGTAATTAGGGATTACAATATTTGTAGTTGGGGTGTTTAGGGTTTAGGGTGTTTGGAGTTTGCGGTTTCGACGCACGAGCCGAATTCGCATCCCAAACATCAACCTGAAGAGGGGGTGCTGAGACGGTTGCTGGTTTACTGCCTCCGCTACCGGGTGCTGTCCAATGCAGGGTTGAGTGCCATGGCTAATTACAGAACCAAACAGTTGTCAATGAGCGTCTGAGCGTAGCTTAGTCCTTCTCGTTGTTCTGTTTTTTTTGTCCGAGTGGCCTCCTTTGCCCGGAAAGGGCCCGAACTGCCCAAACCATGTTTTTTTTGACCCTCGGATCCTTTAGGCGGACAAGGGCCTTCAAGCAAAATCTCAAACTTCCCTATATCGAAGCTCCCGATATCTTACATCTTAAGCCATGCCCTCTACAAGCCCCTGAGCCACAGCCCTCAAGCCTGTGGGTGCCGAGGATCATCGTCCGTGTCGCCTCCCTGAATAGCGCCTTGCCTCAAAGTACGTGATTCAGGAAACAGGCAGTGGGTGTTTCGAGCGTAGATAGTGAATGAATTCTATCGCAGTCTTCCTTTAAGGAGCTAGACTGGTCTTTGTAGGTGGGTCTCGAGAATTCATCATTTACCTTCTCGGGGTTCCTGACAGTAAGGATCCCGCGGTGCGAAGTTTATACCCCGAGCCTTAAACCCTAAACCCTGAAAAATAAAACACACACATATATGTATATGTACACATATAAGTACACGCACATATGTATATATATATATATATACATGTATTTATATATGTATAGAACTTAGACGACCAGTTACACCCCAACACACCATCAGCCCGATAACTTAGCACCCTAAATCTTATACCCAAACACAACATCTTACATAATTGGTACGCCAAGTCCCTAACACTTTGGAGGAGACACCATCATGAACAGCTGCAATTGGGGTGCTCGAATCACCACGGGCGCAATCCAAGGAGCAGCTTGGCTTTGACTTGAAACTTCGGAATTAGGGCTCAGGGCTTGGGGCACCTAAATTTCAGGTTCAGGGTGCCCAAAAGGACATGTACCCTTCGGATTACAGTCCAAGTGCCCTACAACTTAACTATTGTTGCCACTACCACTGCTGCTGCTGCTGCTACAAACAACAACCCACAGCAAGAGCAGCAGCAGCAACAACAAGAATAACAGTAACAGCAACAACAACAACAACAACAACAACAACAACTACTACTACTACTACTACTACTACTACTACTACTACTACTACTACTACTACTACTACTACTACTACTACTACTACTACTACTACTACTACTAACAATAATAATAAGAAGAAATACTCCTACGGCAGGGCAGCAGATACCAAAAGCCATTCAGATTGGAGTATCCCGCGCCTAAACCGTCGCTGCTGGCGTGCTTGGAACATGTACTTGGGTGAGGGAAGCTAGGGTTCAGGGTTTAAGCTCAACCACAGGATTTCGGGCCAAGTGCTCCACTGTTTAGGTGCCAACGACATGCCAAATGATTGAAAAGATGAGTTGGGCCTTAGTGCAAAAGAAGAGGGGAGGCAAGCAAATAACAAGTACAATGCATGCTTTATCAAGCTATAGCACAGAAAGCCCCTGTAGCCGGGACGTAAAACTAGAACCATAAATCCCCAACGGTGGTTGAACAAACGACGGTCAAGTTTTTGATTACATGTGCAATCGTACCGTAACCAGAAGTTTACGCTTGTTTATTGAACCCAGGGAAATACACCACTTATCAAACGTCATCCCCACAAAACAGCAACAGCAATGGCAACATAAACAACAACAGCAGCAACTGCTACCGCACTGGCAACGGCGATGGCGACAACAACAACAACAACGACAACAACAACAACAACAGCAACAACAACAACAACAACAAACAAAAACGGAAACAACGAATGCACAACCCCCAAACCCAAAAACATATGCCAATATCCCTAGACACTAAAGCACAATATGCCCTACCAAGAAACAAGCCATACATGTGTAACAGTATAAATCCTACATCCGAAGTTCTTAACTTACCCGAATCCTCCCACCGACGCCCTATAGAACCTTTTTTATAGAACCCTTATACAGCTTCGGTAGAACCTGCAAAGGCCCCTTATAGAACACTTGGTAAACCCGTGGACCCGAAGGGTTCGCAAGACTGAGGCACTTCTTCTACCCGACTGCCCAGCGAACTCCGTCCGCTGCGAAGCCCGGGAACACCTCTGCGAGGTGTCCTTGCAGTCTTTGCGCTCGCCGAGAGCCCAAAGCAGGTAATTGGGTTTAGGGCTTAGGGTTTTAGGTTAAGGACTTAGGGTTTTATCTCAAGGACGTAGGGAAGGTATAGTACAGGGTATAGAGCATTGGGCTCGGGGTTTACAAGGCTCAAGACGGTTTTGGGGAATCCTATTCCCAGCTCACTCTTGCAGATTGCAGTTCTGAATGCAGCGGTGGGTATGGGAGCCTGTATCATGGCCCTAAGAATCTCACTACCCAAAGGTGTCCAAACAGTTAAACTTGTAGCTGAGTGGATACACTTCACACTTTTTGGGATAATATGACCCACTATTGTAGAACTGAAGGTGTACACTTTTTGGGGCTTATGAATTCAGCAACTAAGAAAACCTAAACGCTAGGCGTTGAGTCTGTCCTACAATTTGGATTCTTGGAACGCCAGGGTTGCAGACTGTCGGGGCGTTCGGGTTTGCGAAGGGTTTAAGGTTTAGGGTTTCGTGCTTAGGGGTTAAGCTAGTTTTTCATACTTCTCATATTATGGTTTGGGGGTGTGTGATAGCATGAATAAGAAAACGGGCAAAAGGGGTGAGATTCGGAATATGTTTTACTCATTTCCCAGTGTCTGCAATTGAAGATCAATCGGGCTAAGGGAATGGAATCGCTTCAGATCAATCGGGCTAAGGGAATGGAATCGCTTCTCACAAAGTTCTGGTGGCGATGCATGGGTTTAGTGTTCAGGGCTTTTGGTTTGGAGGTTGTCGGTTTAGGATTTGGGATTCATGGTTGAGTGTTTAGGGCTTTGGGTTTGGGGTTGAGGGTTTGGGGTTTATGGTTTAGTGTTCAGGGCTTTGGGTTGGTGGTTTTATCCAAGGGTTACCCTTAATAAAGACCCCTAGGTATTATTTTATACCCATTATATAGCACATTTTAGGGTAGGGGTCCCCATTAAGGGTCCTTCCTGTTGTAGGATTTGGCACCACCGTTGCAGGCCAGCGAGCCATCTTGGAAGTGCAAGTGCACCCTGGGATACGACGGAGAGATCACGATTCCCAACCTGGACGATATCCAAGGCCCTCCAAAAGGGTCCTAAGTCCTCTTAGGGTCCTTTTTCAAGGGTGCCGTAGGGTTTAGGGTTTAGGGTAGTTCTCCAAATTAGGTACCTCCTCAAAAGGTCCTGAGTACTCATATGGTAGAATGTAGGGTTTCGTTATTAATAGGACTTACGATTATGAGTTGGGGAAGTATCCCCCATAACAGTACCTAGGACCCTTTAAAACTTGGGCTGAGGGTCTGCTCGGAATACGTTATTGATGCCCGAAGCAGTGCGATTGCATTCTGTGCAGGTGTCTTAGGCTTGTGTCCGAAAGACATGCCCCTATCGCAGTCCTGAGCATATGTTTCGGTCCGCATAGGCTGTCGCAGTCACTGGGCTCCAGTTACCTTTATAGTACTTTATAGTATACAATTAGGCCTGGAAGTAGCTATAACCCTAACCCCCTAGACCCTAGTAGGAACGTATACCAACCTGCAGTACTACAAAGTACCAAGTTACTACGGGTTCTTCTGCGAGCAGGAAAAGTGAGCTCGTGCTCAGTTCAGGTTTTCAGTTGGAGGTAGATCGCCCCTGACTTAGGTAGCCGCCAACACCTCGCTGAAAGAACAAAAGTCCACGTCTTGGCATCTGTGAATCCTGGCAGGACCTTTCAAGATCGTCGGGGAGTGCAAACCCATTGCAGGTGGCTCCACTGATGTTGATGAAAGATTTGGTTCTAGGGTTACCTGGCCATTAATGTAGGGTTCCGGGTATACAAGCTGGAACACCTTCTGGTTATAGAACGGCATGAATAAGTAGCTCTTCCAATGCTATTCCTTGGGGCTCTATATCAGAATCATGGTATCACACACAGTATAATCTACCTCGGAACCTCATTCCACCTGCTAAGGCCATGGCCCTAAGCCCGTTTAGTACCCTACATCTTCATTACAATCACAATTTCAGGAGCCATTAAAGGAAACCTCAAAGAAACCTAGGGTTCAGGGTTTACCTACAGTCTCCATTGTAGTTCCTCTTCTTGGTTAACCAAAAACTCTATTATTATAGGATCCTAACCATAAAACTGGATAACCAAGAAAAGGAACTACAATGGAGACTATAGGTAGGGTGCCCCTTGAGGTTGGCCAGCAATCACAGCCTAGCTAGGTTGGATTTTGGGACATTTTTGATTTTCCTTATTTGGGTTTATAAGGGGCCCTATATATAAATATTTTTCAGGGTGTTTAAAGGCCAACCCAGCTAGATTCTCGAGCTTGGGGCTTCCAATGGTTCCAAGAGGGCTCGTCAAGGTGTCTTTTCGGGTATTCGCTTTAGTTAGTCTAGGGGCCTTGGTATGGAGCAGGGTGTGGCAGCTTATACTCTTAAGCATGACTAGCTACGGACTACAGGATGCTAGAGTATGTAGTTGAAGCTTGTCCCCAGGACCCCTCAGTCAAGCCTACTGCATTCGGCAGCTATATTTTTAACGCTAAGCCTAAAACGCTTAAGCCCTAAACTCGCAAACCCGACGCCAAGGCTACTGCAAGTTTGATGAGTTCAAGCTGATGCTGGCCCCCGGCGAAGCCCCTTGATTTCATGAGCAGCAAGAGCATCACATTCCGGTAATGTAGGAACCTGATTAAGGAACCATGGGCCTATAACGCGAAGAAATTAGCATTCATACAAGGAGCCCTAATAAAGGCCCAAGGTTTCTTAATGAGGTTCCCACATTACATGGCAGGATTAAGCCTTATCAAGCCGTGAACCCAACAACCGTAACTAAATGCTCGCCCGAGAACCTTACAGACTAAAGCCGCGGTTGTTGCAGCCCGCTAGAATTTGCGTGAGGTGCCCTGTGTCTTCGTGATAGTCAATACTCCTAAAGCAATATATATATATATACACATATATGTATGTACACATACATGCATACATACATACATATGTGGGTTGGAGGGTGCGCGAACCATAAGCATATTTCCTGGAGCGAGAAAACGCCACACTGTAACGCGTAGGTGCTAAATGTCTTTGTTGATGCAAACCTGAACCTAAAACCCTCCAAGAATCCTTATAACAAATCCTTTTCAGAGCCCTTGACGAACGTCAAGGATCCTTGTGGGAGCCTTGTAATCCCTAACAGCCCCCAGAGGACCTGTCAAGAGGACTTAAGTACTTGTTAAGAGCCCTTATAGAAGCCTGGTACTTGGGACCCTTTGGGTTCAGAGTTATCGGAGTCCCAGCGCTGAGGAAGCGAAGGGTGTTTTGGGCGAGACCGCTACACCGGACTGCCCGAAAGGCAGGCTTTGGGGTTCAGGGTTTAGGGTTCAGGGGTTTAGGGTTCAGGTTTTGGGTTTAGGGGTTCAGGATTTAGGGTTAAGGGGGTTTGAGGGTGTGGGTTGCGGAAATACAGTCACAAGGCCCTTAGCATCAAGATCAGGATTCCCGAAGGGTTCTAAAACCCCAAGGGTCCAAAGTTCAAAGGGCTCAATAACTAGGTACTCGGTTTTAGGATAGTAGTTATGCAGGTTAGGATTTTGGTGAGTATATGACTATTAGGTACTTGTGCCCTTGGGGTAAGGGCTTAGTATGAGCCGAAAGGCAAGGCTTACCTTAACCCCAAATAACTTACCTTTTTAAGGACTTAGGAAACCATAATACGGAACCCCCAAAAGGGAGGTTTTTCAGGTTTCAGGTTTAGGATTTGTGTTGAGTTTTCCCGTGGCAAAAACACATTCAATACAGCGGCTTCTCGACTTGGAGAGTCAGCTGATAAGGTTCTCTTATTGGCTGTAAACTCAACTTTTCAACTTTTGGGGTTCTCATAAGGTAGTCGATTCTGAAAGTTTCAACTTGTATTTCCGTGGGTTTTGGACAAGTGAGATAAGCCTCCATTTGCATCTATACTTCTTAGGTTCCTCCGTGCACCTACGGAGCCGCAAATATATTGCACGCTGTTCTTCCGACCTTTTCTTGCGGACCCATCACATTCAATTGGCATGGCATGAGCTCCGCATGGCTGCTAAAGCCTGCGGCCCTTTTCTGCGGGGTATCTGCCAAGGATTTGAGGTTTAGGTTTAGGGGTTTAGGGCCCCGGGCTACCTTGACCCCCAAATAACCTACCTTTTAAAGGACTTCTTCAAGGAAACCACAAAAAGCGGAACCCTAAACAGGCAGGTTCTTCATGGTTCAGGCGACCCTAACCCCTGAACCCCCGAGCTTAAACCCTAAATCCTTCGATCACGAACCCTAAACCCCTGAACCCCTAAACCCTAAAGTCCTACACCCCTGAATCCCAAACCTTAGATGTGGGTTTCAAGCTGCATTGCAGTCAGAACCCTGGGTCTGGGCCGCTCAACAGAGCCCAAAAGCCTCAAATAGCATGGTCTTTGGATCCGAAAAGCTTCAACGGTTTGGGTTTTTAGGGTTTAGGGTTTAAGGTTTATAGGGTACAAGTCCTTAGAGCCCCACGGCGATACATCTATACTATGATGTAACCCCCCCCCCCCCCCCGAAGCCCTAGTCTTCTTCTTCAGGCCCTCTTCTTCAGGCCCCTATACTCAACCCTTATAGAGTTTAGGGTTTAGTCTCTACGGAGGGTTTAGGAGACCCCTCAACCGTAAACCCTATGCTACGACGTCCGTTATCGTCTCTATCGTCGCTGTCCAGATTGTTGTTATTGTTGGTGGTGCTGGAGGTGGTAGTAGTTGCTGAACCCTTAACCTTAAATAATGCGGATATGAGTTCTTAGAGCCTTGGGGCTATAGGGTTTGGGAACCCCAAACCCTAGACCCTACGCCCTGAGAGCGCTTAGGGGAAGGCATGGGCCCTACAAAGAAGCCTTTCCACCAGGCTACCCTTATAAAACTCTTAAAAGGGCCTTTGAAAGGGACGTTTAATAGTACCCATACAGAACTCTTAAAAGAATCCTTAAACGGGACCTTATTATAGTACGCTTATAGAACTGTTCAAGGACCCTTAAAGGGACCCTTAATTATAGCGCCCTGGGAAACCAGGCTTTGAGGCAGCTGGATCCAGCGAATGTCCGGGCCTCAGAGCATGACCTTTGAAGTGGAGCAGGTAACCTTTCAACGGTTTAGGGTTTGGGGTTTAGGGGCTTTGGGGTTTAGGGTTTAGAGGTTTAGGGTTTGGAGGTTCAGGGATTAGAGGTTTAGGGTTTAGGGTAAGCAAGAGGGTCGATCTCCGCTACTATTACGGAATCAGGTCCCAGAGGACCGTCCTTACTATGGTTTTAGGAACCTAAGTCCGTAATGGTAGTACATGTGGAGCCTCTGGGGCAGGTAACCTTTTTACTTTTTTGACGAGGAGCCCTAAAAGGCCAGGTTTCATAGGGCTCAGGGTTCAGGCTTCAGGTAAACTTAGGCCCCGAAAATTGAACAGAAATTCTGTTGATGCGAACCCTTGGACCCTGACAGAAAGCTAACAAGCAAATTCAATCCAAGCCTCAGGCCTTTTACTTGGCCTCTACAGCTTGTATTCCTACAATGTAGCAGCGCTTGATCTTAAGGGCTCCTACAAGTTGTAGGGGCCCAAAAAAAATCCAAAGCCTCAAAACCCAACCCAAGGGCCCAAACATTAAACACTTACCATATACCCTACAGGCCTTAAGCCCAAACCGTAAACCCTGTACCTTAGACGCTGGCACAAAATCCTAAACTGAAAACGCTGACCCTGAATCCTAAACCCCCAACACAAATCTACTTGGAGGTTCATTTCATGAATCAGACTACATACAGTTGCCCGTGCCTTGCCTGGGGCTATCCGTAGTTAGAGAAGCAGTTAATGGTTTTGTGACCCCAGTAACTCTAAGTCCCAGGAACCTCTAATAACTAAGTGAACCCTGAGCCTAAACCCTAAGCCCTAAACCCTAAACCGTTAAAAGGATCCCCATTGTGAACCCTCAACCGTTACAGTAAAGGGAACCTTTTAAAAGGATCCCCATGATAGAACCCTACCTATAGTCCCCATTGTAGTTCCTTTCTTTGGTTTAGCCAATTATATTTTAAGGATCCTGTAAGGTAACCCCAAAAAGGAACTACAATGGAGACTGTAGGTAAACCCCTAACCCTAAACCCTAAACCCTAAACCCTTAAAGGGAAGCCCATCCTGGAAAACTTACACTCCACGTGGCCAAGGTACCGAGGGCCAGTCGAGGGAGGGCCAATGGACTCCGATCCCGCGATGTAACTACATACCACCGAAGCCCGGCTGATGTGTGGGGTTTAGTTTAGGCTTGAGGGTTTAGGGTTTACCCATAGGCCCCAGAGTTGTTCCTTTTAGGATTACTTTATGAGGATTCTAACTATGAAACCCCAAAAGGAACTATGGGTAGTTTAGGCTTATAAGGGTCTAGGGTTTAGGGGTTGGGCTTTGCTCATCTCCCCGGTGCTTAGTAGGGCATAGGGGCATGGATCCCTGAAGTTGTTCCTATGTAATCCCCAATAAGAGGCCCCAGAATCCATTCCTCCATGCCCTACGAAGAACCAGAGTTATGTCTAGGGCTCCCATCCTACACCCCAAGGCTCCATGTACCCATATAGGATTCCTCTGAAGGATTCATTTTAAGGGGTTCCGTTTAAGGGTTCTTGTAGGGTTTAGGGTATAAGGGTCCATGGTACCCATATGGTATATACTTAGGCTTTAAAGTACCTATATAGGGAGGTCTTTAAGGCTTAAGTATCTACTATAAAGGTACATGGAGCCGTTAATTGGGACAATTACAACGGATACCCTAAGGGCTCGTTTCAGGCAGCTCCTTTGCGTGCACGACCAGGGGTTCATACCACCGAAGCCTGGTTTTGGGTGTGATTGGCAGTTTCGGGTTCGGGGTTGCTTTAGGGTTTAGGGTTTAGTTTTGTGTTTTGGATTTGTGGTTGATTGGCTTAGGTTGTTGAAGGAGGTTTGTCTAGAATGCTACGGGTCTCTAGGGGCTTGGCGGGTTCTCGTAGTTGGCTTTGTTCGGTTTGGTTATGGCTCCTGCTGTAAGGATCTCCTGCCGGGTTCAGCGAGGAAGCCCTAAACCCCCAACCCTAAGGGTCCTAACAAATTGGGGAACCTCAAAATTGAGGGTTTCTGAGACCCCCAAGAGACCCAAGGACTCTCCCTAGGAGGTTCCGGACCCCCCCCCATGGAGATACCTGGACCCTCAGGGAAACCCTGGACCCTAAACCCGAAAATTTGGAGTTTGCGGTTCACCTTTCGGGAGTTGAGGGCTTGGGGCTTTGGTTTCAGGCTGGGGGCTACTTTAGACTACCTTCTTCCCAGAGAACCCAATACCCCTTACTTAAGGAATATACCTTAAATCATAATATTAAGCCCTCTATAATTTAAGGTATTAAGGTATAATCCTTAATTAAGGGGTATTGGGATCTTTGGGTTTGTCAGCTCTTCTTATAAGCCCTACAGTGTGAAAGCTAGCGGCTGAGAGCATTGATGATGATGTGATCCTCCTTCGTCATGGTGGCTGTTGTTCAGGACGCGTTCAGGAGGAGTCTGGTTTAGGAGTCTCCCTTCAGAGCTTGGGGCACAAGTCCTCGAGGGCACATGCACACACCGTGACACCCCCATCCTAAGGCGCAAACCAGCATCTAGCGCCGGCAGCCCAAAAGCCTGAGATGTGAGTCCCTAGAGTCTTAGAGAACCCAAACCGCAGAGGCCATTTAGGATCTTTCAAAGCCCCGAGCAGCACCCGAAGAGACGAAGGGACCCTGCTTTTTTGGGAGGGTCTGCGATCCGGTGTTTCTGTACATCTTCGGTGCTTTAGGCAGTGAGGTGAAACCTGCCGGTAGCCGCGAGCCCACAGACATATGGGTGGTTGTCAAAATTACGGTCACTTTTTGGGTACCCTAAATTTTAGGTGCCGCATTATATTAAGGACCCAAAAAGGGTACCATAATTTTGACAACCACTCATATGATAAGAATTCTGCCAAGCTTCTTTGGGGTTTTCTGAGGCACGCTAAGGGTGTTTACAAAGGGCTGGGCTTAGGTGGTTTAGGGCGCTTGTGGGGTTAAGGATTTTCCATCCATTCCGAGTGCTTCAGAGTGTTGCAACGGCTCCCTACATTAAACCCAACCCCCCCAAAACCCTACTAAAGCTTAAACGGGATGAAGTCTTCGGAGAATCAGCCAAAACCTTGAGGAATGTTCCTCCGGAGCCGTTCTGCAGCTCTCCACAGCTGAACCCCACGCTCACCTTCAAAGGATGTAGCATCCTGGCCGAGTTGATTCGCGGATGTCCGGTTCAAGGTTGACTATAGAGGCCTCAGCGTTAATCGCAAAGTCCTTAATCCTAAAACCCTATAATCCTTGAGCTTTAAGCCGTAATCCATGGCCCCTAAACCCTAATCCCTAATCCTTAAACCCTAATCCCTGAACCCTAAACCCTAATACTTGAACACTAAGCTCAGGCTCTAGAATGCAAAGCATCTGCACGCACCCGTAAGCCGTAAAAGTGAACTCCCTTATACAGCCTCAAACGATACTGTAAATTCCTGAATTCCTGCGGAACTCGCGAGGAAAAACCACGACGTCCTTATCAAGCCCTAGGCAGAGGCTCACGTCCTAAACCCTAAAAAGGCCTGAGCCCTACTTGGAGCTTCATAGTACTTGATAACTACCGCCAAGTAGCTATAGGGTGTAAACAGGGTACAGTAACTATACCCACTGAAGACACCTATAAGTGTACTTACGAAGTGATCGTCCAAGCAAACCCTAAACCCCCAACCCTTGTAGATCCCTTTTTGATCCCTTTTGGGAGCCCTTTTTGGAGGCCTTTAACTCACAAAGTCCCATGAACCTCCAAGTGAGCCTAAACCGTAAACCCTAAACGCCCAAACCCTAAACCCTAAGCCCTAAACCCCTGAACCCTAAGCCCTAAACCCTAAACCCTAAGCCCTAGACCCTAAACCCTGTCCCAAAGGCATCTGCTTTGGCGTCGAGCCCGGCAAGACCGGTCCTGCATGCGACTGTGAGGCTCCGACCCACAAGTTTGAATTCCTTTAGGGTTTAGGGTTTAGGGGTTTAGGGTTTCTTTCAAGGGGGTGGTAGGTTCCCTTAGTAGATGAGTGGGTGCACTAAACTTTTTGGGATTATATGACCCACTATAAAACTAAAAATGTACACTTTCGAGGGGCTTATGAACTCAGCAACTAAGTTTGCTTTAAGGGTTCTATGAGGCTTCCTTTAAACGTTTAGTGTTTTGGGTTTGGGTTGTGGAATGTAGGGTTTAGGGTTTAGGGTTCAGGATTTAGGGTTTAGGCTTAGGGTTTAGCGTCTTTTCAGGTTCCTGTAAGGGTTCCTTTGTACGGGTTCTTTAAACCCGGAGGGTTCATATGTACTACCATTCTGGAAGTAGGTCCTAAGAGATCAGCCCCGTTATGGTTTTGGGACATTTTGGGAGTAGTAGTGCACTATAGGGGCCTTAAATTTACTTATACTATTTTGTAGGTTCCTTGTTATGTTTATAGTATACACGGCCCCAAAACCCTATTCCAATTAGTAAGGCCCCTATAGTATATGGACCCTCTTGGAAATTCAAAAGTATCTGTACTGGTTGAGGGTCAAGGGTCTAGGGTTCCTGAAATGGTTCCTTCAAGGGTTTCTTTGAGGGTTCCTTTCTGGTTCCAGAGATGTTAGCATTTCAGGCTTTGGGGCTTAGGGTGTTCAGGTTGTGGGGCTGGTACTTTGTAAAGCGTTTACACGCGCTTCATTCGCAGGGTTTTTGTTCTGCAGCTGCTCTCAACGACAGCATCCTGGCCGGCCGCTCGAATGAGCTACGTTCAACATCATGGGTTTGAAAAGGGTCGTAGAGTTACAGGGCTTTGCAAGGGTTGAAGAACGTGGTCTAAGAATTCCTTTTTCCAGGGCTGTCTTGTGAAGTAGGATTTGTAGATCGGGTTCGTATCATTGCCCCGATTCGGGCACTGATGAAGGAGCCAATTCGTTTTCTGCGTGTCAGCAGCCTCGGCAACAGCCAAAACACATCCAAAACAAGAGGCTTACTTGGAGGATCAGGGGACTTAGTAAGTTAGGTTATACGCACCCTAATCAGAGTTGAAGAAGAAGTTGAGTTACCTTGTTTATAACCATAGTTACTAAGTCCCATGATCCTCCAAGTAGTATAGGATTTTAAACGCAGTCAAGGTATCCCCCGAATCGACTGTCCCGGGGTTCAAATAGACTATACCGGGCCGTCCAATCTTTCCCCCGCCGCCCGCCTCGCTCATCGAGGCCCAGCAGCGGTCCAACGAATGCTGGAGTCCTTGGTACAGGATTCGGGGCTGGATTCAGCAGATTGCACGCTCGAGGTTGTGGAGCTCAACGCTAGCAGCAGTGGCGATTGGGCTGAAGCTGTCTTTGCACTGCAGAAGAAGCGGCTCTCCGACTCGCAGACGCCCATGATCTGCCATTTGGGCCTCGCACGCGATCAAAGCACAGCTACGGCGATACGCAGCCACATGCCATGAGACCAAACTGTCTTTACTCTTGAGTCCCTGAACAAAGGGAACTGTCAGGGTAAGACCTGAAGCCCACGACCCTAAGCCTCAAGCACCAGACCCTAAACCCATGCCCCTACAGTCCTTCCGAGCCCTGGTCCCAACAGGTTCACTGCGCACAGGATCACGAAGAGGTGGGTACCGTTGGGTCTGGCCAGCATCTCGTCCGCACCTGGGTCCGTGTTAAGAGAGCCGTTTGGGGTTTAGGGTTTGGCAGGAGATGCAACAATACGACATTAGTAATGATTCAAGTGTCTTTTTCTTTCTCTCTCTCTCTCTCTCTCTCTCTCTCTCTTTTCTCTCTCGCCATCAACCTGAAACTTACGATTTAGGTAAGAAATTGGAGTTTACGGTGGTTGAAGGTTGAGGTTGAAGGAATGCTACATGACGCGCACCCCAAGCCTAGGCAATAAAAAAGGCACGTGCACGTACATTGCTTTCAGCAGGTAGGAAGCTTTACCATACCACTGACCTTGTACAGACACTGTCGCTAGCCCAAACTGCACCCTCATGTCGGAGACGGAGATGGGTGGATGGATGGATGTCCATGTACGCAAACGTGTGGCAGAGTGTATGTGCATGCGTCTATGCACGTGTGCACCTTCATCTCCATGCGTTTTTAAGCTCTAGTACAATGTACATACGTACCCATCTATGATTATCTCTATCTATCTGTCGCCTCTCCCTATCTCTCTTCTAGCTATCTCTAGCTCTATCTATAACTATCGCTTTGGTGGGAGCAGCTCTCGGCCTAGTTGCTGGCGGAGCTTTGCAGTATCATGGGACAAACAGGTTGTATGTAGCTTTAAAACTATAACAGGCAGGATGACCACAGATGGGTAAGTACTGAGAACTTTGTACCTGCAGCGTTGAGTAGTGGTCTGAGGAAGAGCTGCGTGGCGACCGAGTATCAGTGCCCTGAGTCCATCATGGAGGGAGCGCAGTGTCTGCGGGTTGCAGTTGGAACCGTTTGGAGCTTGGGGTTGATGCCTCGACAAGACAGCAACTAATACATAACATAATTAGCCCCTAACAAGCCCTTGATGAACATTGAGAAAACTATAGTATGTTATCCATATGTGTTTATATAACTATATAGTTATAGAAGATAAACACATATATATGTGTGTGTATATATATATATATATATGTATGTATATGTATGTATGTATAATTGTGTAAGCATGTATGTACATATGTATGCATGTATGTATGTATGTATGTATGTATGTATGTATCTGTATGTATGTATGTATGTATGTATGCACGTATGTTTGTATGCATTTGTGTGCATGTACGCATGCATGCATATGCTGCATATATGTACGTATGCATGCATGTATGTATGTGTGTATGTATGAATGAATGAGCACATGTATGTATGTATGTATGTATGTATGTATGTATGTATGTATGTATGTATGTATTTATGTATGTATGTAATGCGAGTACGAGCTAATTTGTGCATTCATGTAATTGTGCATGCATGCATGCATGCATGCATGCATGCATGCATGCACGCATGTGCCTATGTATGCATAAATAAACGGCCCGCTCTCTCCCTCTCTCTCTCGCTCTAGGCCCTATAGGGTTTGGTTTTTCAGATGCACTATTTTTGAGTCCTTCTAATGAAGATCCTGCTATATAAGTATTTGCATCAAGTCCAAAACCTGAGTGCCCTCAGCCTTATAAACCTCAGCTGGACACCCCAACTGCCCTTCATGGCCCCGTGTCGAGTCCCTCTCCGTATACCTGAAGTTATAACATACCCCAAGGCCTTACTCTAATCATGACGATCCTGGTTTTAATATCTCCAGGCCCCAGACTCCAGGTCCCATCGTAAGGCCGAACTTAGGGCCCAGAACAGCAGGGCATCTTCGCTCCAGTGGTGCGTGTGGCCTGCGTCCGGGCACGTACCGTAGAAGCCGAAAAGTTGGAACATCATTGTCCCCGTGCCCTCAAGGTAAAGGATAAGGGATCCTAGCACTCATCCTCCTAAAGTGATGTTCCAACTTTCTGGCTTCTACTATACCGTGACGGCGAAGACAAGGGCGAGGTCAAGGACGAGCAGTCGATTGAGGGTTTAGGATTTGGGGTTGTTTAGGGTTTAGGGTGAACCTTAACCCTGAAGAACCTACCTTGTTAAGGACCTAGACAAGGAAATCATAATGGGGAAGCCCTAAAAAGGTAGGTTATTCAGGGTTACGGGAGGGTTTAGGGTTGAGGCTTCGGCCCAGGTTGGAAGGAGACCGCCAACAACGAGAAGGAAAAGGCAAAACGGCAGGGCTGCCAAAGACAACAACCCTAGGGGTCCATGTGAGCACTCAAATAGTATATAGGCCTTAAAGTCGTCCCTATAAAGGTACATGGGGCCCAAAGTACAGACTAGTTGGGCACATGGACCCTTGAACCCTAACCTCTAAACCCATATAGAACCTGTATAGAGCCCTTATAGGAACCCTTAAAGGAGCCCTATGTAGGTACATGGACCCTTCGGGCAACTGCCGCTACCACCTCGGTTGGCCCCTCCGTTGCGCTGGCTGAAAGACCAGCCCAATGCCTTTCATCCTAAGGTTCCTTTAAGGTTTGTGAAACCCTAAGGCTCTAAGGATTTCTATTTTAAGGCTCAAGGTTTGTAAAACCCTAAGGCTCTAAGGATTTCTATTTTAAGGCTTTTGGGCCTAAAGACCTTATTATACAAGGCTTTTGGGCCATTTTGAGCCTTAGGGTAAGGGTTGTAGATAAGGGTGCAAAAAGGTACTATAAGGGTTCCTATAAGGGTACTAGAAGGGTGAAAGAAGTGTACTATAAGGTTTGAGGGTTCCTAGAGGGGTACAAGGTTGTCGGAACGAGCCCGGGTTGCGGAGCACCTTCAATGGCACGAAGAGGACCAAGAGCCGGCTTTGCCCGCTGGTTGGCGACCTGGGCCCAACGGGGGTCACGTACAACGGGATTTGTGCAGGACAACATGATATCCCTGTACTAGTTACTGCTTATGTTCTTGGACCCAAACCCCTAAACTCTGCACCCTCAGTGCTACTCCAGACCTTCCAAAAGACCGCAAATGACGCAACCCTAAATCCTGAGTTCTGGACCTAACCCTAAACCCTGAGTGTTGAACCCTATAAACCCTAAGCCATGAGTTCTTAACCCTAATCCCAAACGCTGAGTTCTGAACCCTAAACCCTGAGTCCTTAACTTCTGAACAGTAAGCCTTGAGTTCTTAACCCTAAACCCCAAACCCTGAGTTCTGAACCCTAAACCCTAAGCCTTGAGTCCTTGACCCTAAACCCTAAACCCCTGAACTATGAAACCCTGAGGTGTGGATTCCCAGACCAAGGAGCCGACGCTGGATTTCTGCTGCGACACGCCTGGGGCACAGTGGCGACGGGTTTCCCTAAGGTTCCTTTAAGGAGGTTCTTTAAACCCTAGGGATTCCCTACGGTTCTAGGACCCAGAGTAGGCCCTTATTCCCTTTTTTAAGGTTTCGGTTCTCTTATAACACCCTTTAACTCAAAAAGGGCACCCTTTTTATTCCTAGGTTCTAGTATATTAAGGCTTTGGGGCCCAAAGACCATACTAAATAAAGCTTTTGGGCTATTTTGATCCCTAGGAAAGGGTCTCAGGGGTTCCTATAAGGGTTCCTTTTTTAGGTCCTATAGGGGTACTCTAAGGATGTAGGGTTTAGGAATGAAGAGCGGGGCCCTAGTGCCCATATATGGTGCAGCGCTGCTAGGCCCCCCCTCCCACCCCACCCCATGGTATCCCCCCCTCCCCCCCCCCTGTGGTTCCCTGTGGTGTGGGTTCTTCCCTGCCCCTCCCCCCTGTGGTTGCGGTCGGCTGCGCCCCCTTCCATGGCTGTTGCTGGTTGGGTGTCCGGTTGCTACTTAGGATGTGATACAGTTCCACTGAACTCTGACCTGCCCTGCGCTCCAAAGCCAATTATAGTGATGAGTATTGTCTGATGATGACGAAGATTGTAGTCATGATCCCCCTCCGCATCCCTCCGCACTCTCCTCCGGTCCCTTGCTCAAGAGCCCCGAATGAGCATCATTCAAGCACGTGCTCAAGCTCATTTTTAACGACCCCAACCGAAACTTGGCTAGGAATGACAACGGTCGATACAGTTTGCGCAGGAACACTACAAGCCAAACACGATATTTTCAACTAAATAGAGCAATGAACATGCGTTGCCGAAGCCCAGAGCAACATAAGAGCAGAGGTACCACCAACAGCCACACTGGGAATCTCTGCACAACATCATCGCCTTCGTTCTCATCTGTGTGTCGAAAGGGAGGGAAGGGGAAGGGGTCCTGTGTTTCCCTGTGTTGTGGGTTATCCTGTGCTTCCATGTGTTGTGGGCTATCCCTCCCGACGCCTGGCTTGGGGGGGTACCGTGGGGAATGTCGACAGTTACATGGATGACGTGCGACTGTGTGCTGGAACGAGAGGCATGGCTTGTGGGGGGGGGGGGGGGCATACCATGGGGGGTGGGGGGGGGGGCCTGCGACTCGGCGACGCGGCACCATATATAGTCTTATATAGTGTATACGGAGGCCTTCAAGTGGGCTTCCTAGATTTAGTCACCTTACGGCCTAATTATTCACTAAATATACATGGAGCCAACGGGTTTAGGTTCATGGTATCGGGATTTGCGGATTTAGTACTTCGATGTCATTTCGGGCGATGCTGCAGTACCGCTTCGTGCTTTGCTTTAATGTGGTCTGCGCATTCGGGGTTTAGCGTGGACTGCAGGGACCGCCCAGCCATGCTAATGACGGTGGGGTTGGAAGTTTCACAGCACAAGAAACCTTCATCATAATATGCGTCCTTGGGGCTTTGAGGTCATTTTTATCTTGTAAAGCCTTCAAATTATTGTGGACATTGTCGTGGGGTGATGTAAAACCTTGCGTTTTGTGGTTCCCTATTATGATTTAATGATGTCTTCTGCAAGTCCGTAGCAAGACAAGGTAGTTTATTTGGGGTCCAAAGTAAATCTAAACCCTAATCCCTAAACCAACCCCAACGGTTTAGGGTTTAGGGTTTCTGTCAAGGCCCTAGAGCCATTGCCTAAACCCTGAGCAATGCGTTTGATTGCAAGCTGTAACCCTGAGGCTCAAAATGGCCCAAAAGCCCTGTATAATATGGTTTTTCACCCAAAAGCCTTAAGATATGAGTCCTTAGAGCCTTAGGGTAAGGCAAGGGCGAAACCCCAAACCCTAAACCCTCAACTCAAGCCGCGGGATTATTGTAATCTGTGAGACGTGGGTCAAGCCGCAAAATCGGGTCATCGACCACCGTGCGTCCGGGTCCAGCACTGGGCTGGGGTTTAGGGCTCAGGGTTTATGGTTCCGGATTCTTGGATTTGGGTTCGGGTGTAGTTCCTCGGTTTGTCTCGCCATCTTGGTTGCAGCCTAGCTTCTGGAATTGGTGTTCTGTGGATGTGTACTGATGCTGTCGCTTTGGCAGCACGCAGCGCCCGAGGCAACTTTCGCTCAAGGAATGCACTCACATCCATTGCCATGTGCTCCGACGTCCTGGATGAAGTCACAATGATTTTGGTCGCATGGCAGGAGGATCTGCCTAGATGGGCACGGTGCCCGTAATGGGATACTCGCCCATCACGCGTTTATCCATCACACAGCTTGTGGTCTAGCGATTGGAGTTTAGGGCCAGCGCGCTGACCTGGAGAATGGGTCATTCCTTAGAAGCTGCCCCCACCCTGTAATAGTGACTGTAAGGCTTATATTAGGGCCCTATTAAATTTCTATTATACCACTATTACAGGTGGGGTCCCTTCTAAGTCATTCCTTTGGGTGCCCGGGTGTTCTCAGGAATAATTTTTCAATGTTCTTGCATTTGGTGCCAATCTAGAGATCTAGGGGCTTATAGGTGTTAAGGTTTAGGTTTTAGGGTTACGGTTTTAGTGTTTAGGCTTTTGGGTTTAGGGTTTAGGGCTTATAGGTTTTAGACTTGGTCAGGTAGTCGTTTGAGGTCTTGGCCCTATACAATCTCCTAAGCCCTTAGCTCACCCTCGAAATCCCTTTTTGTCGCTCTAGATGCCTCCCCAAACCCGAAACCATAAACCTGAACCCTATCTGCCAGGGCGTGGGGTGCCAACATCCCACCGCCGGCGCTGACAGAAGGCAGCTGCCGCGACATCAAAGAGGAGCCTACAATGAATGGATTCCGGGGTTTAGGATTTAGGGATGCTTTCCGGTAATGCCGCTGCCATAAAGGTTGCGAGGCTTTTACGGCAGGTTTCTTGGCGGTTGCTGGGGCTCATGGCTTCTAGGGTCTACCGCTGTAAGGCCCCATAGTAGTTCCTTTTGGGGTTCATAATGTTTGGAATCTTATGAGCTAATCCCCAAAGCTTCTAGAGTTTAGCCCATCTTGTAGTTCAGGCTTGGGGTTCATAACTGTTTAGTACTTGGTGAATTGATGCCGCGGGCTAGTTTGGGTGAACATATACACATGTATGTATGTATGTATGTATGTATCTAGATATGTCTGCATGTACGTATGTAACAATGTATGCATGCATGTATCTATGTAGAAGCCAAAGGATGACCAGTTTCGGGTTCATTGTTGCCCTAAGGCTCCATGTACCCATCAGGTAGATACTTAGGCCTTAAAGTACCTATATAGGGACCCCTTTAAGGCTTAAGTATCTACTATAAAGCTACATGGAGCCTTTGGGTTGATCAGAGTTTATTGGACTTAGGGCCTAGAAGATGCGGGCTCGAGAATGTTTAGGTTTTACATGAGGCATTCAAGGGGCTTTGGAGTTCCAAACTTGAAATACAGGTTTATACTTCCTCTCCATGGTCACTTAAAAGCACAATCAGTTGGTTCCTATACAGCAACTTTTAGGTCAGAGTATTTACTATTGGTACATTCGAAAGACAGGAAACCCGAAACCCTAAATCATCCGATGTAGGGTTTTTGTAAAGGGCATTGCTTTAGGGGCTGAAATAATTATTGTTTTTTTGGGGGGCGGGATCCTTGTTATGGTTATAATATAGGTTGCCCCAAAACCCTATTCTAATTGTTCAGGCCGTTATATTCTAGATCCCTATAGACCCCTTTAGAGGAACCCTAGTCTAATTGTTAAGGCCCCTGTATTAGGGTTTGAGGTTTAGGCTTCAGGGTTTTGCGTTCAGGGCTGCTTTTGTTTAGGGCCCAGACCTTCCAAAGTCCTTTACTTAAGGACCCAAAGAGTCCAAAGTACCTATGTAGTAGAATGTAAGATTTCTATATTGGGAATGATGATTATGATTTGGGGAAGTATCCCCCATAACAGTACCTAGGACCCTTTGGGGGAATATACCTCAAGGCACATTAAGGGTCCGCAATATGATGTGTGGTATGTTCTTGAACCCTAAGGCTCAAAATGGCCGAGAAGCCGTATATGATATGGTCTTCAGGCTCAAAAGCTTTAAAATATGAGTCCTTGGAGCTATAGGGCAAGGGATTTTGGAAGGTCTGTGCGGTACGGCTTTGGGTTTAGTGCCCTCCCCTGCGGCGCCATGTACCTGCATAGCGTATACCCAGGCCTTGAAACTATATGCCCCGATGTATATATATATATATATACATATAATTAACCATTATGGAATTAGGTTCCATTCTGATTTTGGGGACCTAATTCCATAATCGTAGTGTGTATGGACGCTCTTGGACAAGGGCCCCTGTAAGGCCTACAGTAAAGCCCAAAAAAGTTGGGGTTTAGGGTTTAGGCTTTAGGGTTTCGGGTTTAGGGTTTAGGGTTTAGGGTTTAGGGTTTGGGGATTAGGGTTTAGGGTTTAGGGTTTAGGGTTTAGGGTTTCGGGTTTAGGGTTTAGGGTTTAGGGTTTGGGGTTTAGGGTTTAGGGTTTAGGGTTTAGCTGGATTAAGGCCAAATAGTGCTGGGATTCCCTATACACTACTCTTAAGGAATGAGGCTACAGGGTTTCCAACTTTTGGGTTAGAAGAACACCAGAATGATACTTGGACCCTTTGGGATTCCCAGTTCTCTCTAGCAGGTTGAAGTCCTGAATGCAGCGGTGGGTATGGGAGCCTGTATCATTGCATAAAGGCTTGGGCTTCTACTGTAAGTATATACAGTATCCGTACATGGAGCCTTAGGGCTCATGAGCAGGACAAGCAGTGCTTGACCAGCGTGCAGTCTGCAACCGGCGCGGATGCAAACAAGGTCGGCTTAGGGTTCGGGGTTTAGGGTTTGCCCCAAGGGTCCAAGTACCTAATAATCATATACTCTCTGAAATCGTAACCTACATAACTACTATCCTAAAACAGAGTGCCTAATTATTGGGTCCTTGGGACCCTTAGCGTTGGGGTAGAGGTCAAGATATGGGAGTTTCCGAAAATTGGGGGGGGGGGTACCTTATTTTAGGGTCCTGGTAATGAGGATCCTATTATTTAGGGTACTATATTAGGGTCTCCTATTTTCGAAAACTCCCATATAGTAACCTGGAAGCTCCCAGCTTTCCCACTTGCAATGCTCAAGGGATGCAGACAATGAGCATACAGCAGGGCACTCCTCCAAGGGTCCAAGCACCTAATAGCCATGTATTCTCCGAAATCCTAACTTACATAGCTACTATCCTAAAAACGAATACCTAATTATTGGGCCCTTGGGACCCGCAGGGCACTCTGCCTGTGCCCTAGTTGTACCCCTGCGAGTGATTTATGTATATACATACCTAGACCCTGCAATGTAGTACGTTCTTATGGTTTTCCTCATGCGGGGTCCAATACCCTTAAACTCTGCATCGCTATATGGTGCTTGACCCTTAGACTTGTTCAGGGCATATTTCGTCTTGCACCTTTCATGCTCCGGGCATAACCCAAGGGTCCAAAGGACCCAATAATATATGTATATGTATATATATATATATATATGTATATAAGGTACTCAGTTTTAGGATAGTAGTTATGTAGGTTTGGATTTCGGAGAGTGTATGATCATTAGTAATTAGGTACTTGGACCCTTGGGGTAATGGGTGCTGAGGTGCTTACGAAGAAGTAGCTCCGCTCTAGAATAGAATTGAATAGGGCACGCTGGCTTGTAAAACGAAGGTGTACCCTGCATTAGTATGCAATTCAGTCCAGAAAAGAGCTAGTTCGCATTGAAAGGAAGCCCGAAAGCCAACGGAGTAAGGCGTACTGGACGGGGGCCCGAAATCAGGCTGGACAGCCGTGCTGCTGGAGCCGCAGCGGCTTTGGCGGCGATGCTTCCTTGGCCACTACGACAGCACATTTCAACAGTCGTGAAAGTCGCAGGGTATGAACTGCACGTAACATGAAGCTCTGAGTTTTTGATAATCATATGCCTCTATGGTCCGTGCATACTCGTAGCAGAAGGTAGAACTTACCCCACAAGCCTCGAGGTACCACGCAAACGCTATTCGAACCAGTAAGGCCCAATTTCTATGTTGCGACGAGCTGAGGTTTGCGCCGCCAAGGAGTCACAGGCGTTCCTGGCTTCAGGGGTTGCTTCAGGGGTTTTAGTGTTTGAGGTTTGGGCGTTTGGGGGTTTCGAGTTTCGGGCTTGGGGCCTTTGGGGATGAGGCTTTCGAGATGTTGGTTCAGTGGTTTAGGGTTTAGGGTTTAGGGTTTTGGGTCTAGGGTTTAGGGTTTAGGGTCTAGGGTTTAGGGTCTAGGGCGTCTCGCCGCGCAGCGGCAGTATTTTCTATGTAGGATGGCGCCCCAACACTCCCAGGGGTGTGGGGGGGCGGCATATCGACGTCTAGCGTTCGAATGCGATTCCACCACCAAACAATTACACATTGGTTCCTCACCTTTTCCCACCCGCTGTGAGAATACACAGGCTACCACCCAAAACATTGCCTTTTAGGGTTTAGCGCTTACGCCCTCAATTCCCACCTGTGCCTGGTCTGTCTGTTGGGGCCAGGAAGCACACTGGCCAGGTAGAGAGGGGGTGAAGGGGGGGCCAGGGGGGGCCAGGGAGGGCCAGGGGGGCCAGGGGGGGTCAGGGAGGGTGGTCTCCCCTAGGACCCCCCCAGAGCCCCCCGGGTCCCTGGAATCTGCCAGCTCAGAGCCCCCTGACCCGGCTTCTGGTGCCTTTTCTGAAGGGGTGCCAAAGGGAAACGCCCACCAAGGGATTTGGTCGTCGGGTTTAGGGCATTCTAATCTCTTGAGATTCGAGGGAATTCCCTCTGCGAATATGGGCGCCACGCAAGGGGCCTAATGGCTTGGCTCAGCCCTAGGGGCTGAATTCGACCATTCTCCAATGGCTCCACCCATTGTCCATCCAGAGTTGGTGTCAATCACTGCCGGATTTGCTTCTGGGTCCAGGCACCCTAAGAAAAAGGGTGGGTACGGCCTAAGCAGGCCTGGGTGGGAATTTAGGGTTTAGGGTTTAGGGTCTAGGGTTTAGGGTTTAGTTTCGGGTTGAACTTTGAACCATTTGCCAGCAGAGGTGGTGTCTCTCCATCGAGAGTCCTTTCTAGGTTCCTTGCTACTTGCTCGAGTCCTTAGAAGGGCCGTCACAATCATGAGCATTCCGGTCGTACAAACACGGTTTTGTCAAGCCGTGCGTGACAACCAAGAACCGTCCGTTGTGTTCGGCTTTCCCACATGGTTCATAGAAGGAAGGGATTCAGAGTGTTTTCCCTGCATTGTTGAAAACAGGCTCCGAACAGAAGCCCAAATTCCCGACTTGAAAACGGACGTGTGCCAGAGACCTTTAACGGTCAAACTTCAAGCTTCAAGCACAACTTCAACCCCTAAAAAACCAAAGTCTAAGCGAGCAGCCCCAAGCCGTAATAGCAGCACGGAGCAAAAACTCAACGCGCACAAACAGACCCTAATGGTCCATGTCCATGTACTCAATAATGACCCAATATAGTACATACTTTGGCCTCAAAGTCCTACTTATTTGGGCAAATTAGGGCCAAATTAGACACCGTACGAGTACACGGAGCCTTAAGCCCTAAGCCTTTAAATTCACACGGTAGCCTTACTGGGAGGATCATGGGACTTAGTAAGTAAGGTTATAAGTCCCATGATCCTCCAAGTATAGAACCCTGAAAAGTACATTCAAAGGAGATTACTCGGATCCATTAGGGTAAGAACCCTCGGAGCCTTGATGGTAACATCTCCGAGTTAAGTTAAGGAATGCTTCTAACATTTAGGGGTCAAGCCAGATTAGGGACCACGTATTGTTCAAGGTATGTTCTATTCCCCCATCAGGGGTGATATTGGAAGATCTGGGCACGGTTCACGTTTTCAAGCAATGGGCTCGGATCTTTAAACTTTAAACCCTACTCGGACCACAAGAAACCCATTCGTTGAGGCCTCCTTCACATGTTTTCCTCATATGAGTCGTTAATTGAGTCCTTAATCTATTTGGGGTTGATGCAAGCCCTAAAGAGATTTGAGTTCTTCGAGGGTCAAAATACATCATAAGAAGGATCCCCAAAAGGGCAGGTTCTATAAGGAAGGCAAACCCCTAAACCCTAAACCCTAAAGTGCCCTACAGAGATCGGGTTCTGAGTCAGGTTTTCAGTCCACCCCAGATCCCCTCAGCAGCCCCACGATCAAAGACATCCGCTGTTGCATGCAAAGGATAACTTGTTTAGGCGCTTAGGGTGTTGGGCTTCAGGTTTCGGGTTTTTAGTAGGATGAGGGTTTGGGGTTTCGTGCCGGGGCCGATAGTTCTGGGGCGTAGGGCGCAGGGTTCCTGACGGACCACATCACATGACTCTTAAACGTAGGAGTCCGGGAGACTTGTACTATGCATCCCGATGTGGTCATTCATGTTTGAATGCTCTTCTAGGGCAGAATTCGTGCTTAAGGCTGAAGATATGCAGCTAAGGTCTTCAGCAGTCATAAGATCATAAGAGTTTGGAGTTGAGGCTTATAGTCTGTGGGAGTACTGTACCGCTTTATGGAATTGGAGGTTCAGGGTAGGATTTAGGGTTGTGGGCTGTCAGGGTTTGGGTTTTCAGGCCATGCAGGGAACAACGCCATCCGCTTGCGCCGTGGCGCGCCGAGTTCTGAAAGCCGTCTGCGGCCCAGGTCCTTCGGGCTTTGTGCGTGTTCCCTTCAGACTGTGATACAGAAGCCTACCCCAGAGGGTCCATATATACACTACCAGCATGGAATTAGGTCCCAAAAGACCATCCCCAGCATGGTTTTTGGGAGCTAACTTCATAATGGTAGTATACAGTATACAGGGACACTCTGGGTTAGAAGCCTAAATACTTACCAACTACTAATATATTCCTTTAATTATGGAATTATCAATTCATGCACCATCGAGGGTTAATCTAAGTGTTTAGATCGGGGGTCGGAATAATTACCAAGATCCTTAGAGGGCCGGTTTATAGTTTTACTATAACATACCCTAAACTCTTTTCTGAGTAGTGAGGCTTGAGGGCAGGTTAGGTTATTGATCAGGGTATGGGATTCGGGAGTTCGAGAGTTTGGGGTTTTGCGGCCTCGTGTTTTCAAGTTCAGGTTTTTCAAAGGCTTGGGTTCAGTGTGTTGGGGTTTACAGTTCAGGGCTTACGGTTCAGGGTGATCCGGAGGGTCCAGGTAGCTCACAATCGAAAACTGCCTTACATACTTTTCTAACTTACACTGCCATTATCCCAAACCCACATACTATGCTCATGTGTTGGGCATCCCTTCATACGACTTACACATAAGTAGCTATGTCAGATAGCTTATAGCCATTGGAAGCATCAACGCACCAAAAACCCTTAACCATCGTATACCCTAAACCCTGTACCACAACAATCCGCACCGCTGGCGCACAACGAGCTCCTGTGCGGTAGCTTCAGGGCCCAGGATATACCGGAAGCCTCCAACCCGAAGCCCTGAAGCACTCAACCTATAAATCTAATTGCATACCTTAAACTTCACACACCTAAACTTCAACCTGCTAACTGTGAACGTAATTAAGGTTACAACCGAGTCCTAGAAAAGCCGAGCAATACCCTGGATGGAAGCCCTCTGCTATACATCCTTTACCAACTAGTCCTCATGTCATCTGAAACCCTGAACCCTCAGGCTAAGCCTGTAATATTTAGCCTCACATCAACCCCGAGATCGTCAGCGATCTACGTGACTGATTCAGAACCCTAAACATTACACCTTCAACACTTAGACTTAGGCCTTAAACCTTAAGCCAACTGTGCGAACACCCAGGATTGGGCCCAGCTTCCTACGTGCATTCCGCCATGCATCTTGTCAGTGCAAGAGTTCAGCGATTCGGAAGACGACGGCTTAGGGTTAGGGCTTTATGGCAAGATAGTTCACATGTTTAGGGGTTAAGGGGGGTCCAGGGTTTAAGGGCTTAGAGTTCACGATTGTGGGTTTCGGGCTTAGGGCTTTAGGGCCAAACACTGCGCCACAACCATAAATGAACCCTATACTGCACCCTAGCTCTAGTTTAGGGTTGACTAGGGATGTAGATTTAGGGTCATACAGTGCAAGACATCCGAAAATTGGAAGTCCCCAGCCCACCGGCACTTCTAAGTTCGAGTCCTTGAGGTTGCTTATTATAAGAGAGATGTACACTTTTGCCAACCCTGCACGGAACCCGACTGGCGTATGGAATTTGGGTGAGTATATGGTCATTAAAAACATGAACCCATCGGGCTGAATACATTAAAACAATGAACCATGCTCTTCAACCCTATTCCCATGTACCTCTCAGCCCACACAGCCCCGAACCCGAAGCAAACTCTGCAACCTAAACCCTAGCGAAGTTGTTAAAGCAATGTTGGGTAAGTACTTGGAAGGGCAGGGTACTTTTTAAGTAGGTTATAAGTAGGGTTATAGTTGGGGTAACTCTATTTAGGGCACTTATAACTCTACTTATAACCTACTTACTAAGTCCCCTGCCCTTCCAAGTAGGGGTCTTGGTATGACTTGCAGCCTTAGGGCCGGGACCCCACAGCCACGTAAGCCCTACGAGAGAAGCCTAGAGAAGTATCAGTATCACCGTTATTCCTGGGCTCGTCATACTGCCATGATGAATATACTACTATTGTTACGATGTACCCTAATACCTGGTTCCAACAATTGTAAGGCCCTACATTGAAGCCTAGTTGTAAGATCCGGCTCAAACCCCAAGCGTCCAAGTACCAAACAATCATATACTCTCCCAAATACTAACCCACACAACTACTACCCTAAACCCAAGTACCCGATTATTGGGTCCTTTGGAATGTTGGGGTAAGGTGAGGACACCTTCGACCGGGCATTCTTGGACGTCTCCGGGTGTGAGAGGCGGCTGGGGTGTGTTGCGGGTTTGCAGGGATGTCAAGGGTTGAGAATCTTACCTTTGGTTAGTAGGGAATGGAGGAGTTGGGTACAACTATAACTAGTATTCCTACCATTCTTCCAGTCCCTACTAACAAAAGGTAAGGAATTTGGGGCTTTAGGTGTTGGGGCTTCAGTAAACCCTTAACCCTAAACCGGGGTTGGGAGTTCAGTAGGTATCGAAGGGTTGAGGGTTTAGTGGGTTGGTTGGGGCGTCCGTAGCCAGGTTTAAGGCGGGTGCTATTCGCAGGAGAATATCATCACAGTTTCCTTGCTAGTCCGTATAGATATATATATATATATATGGATATTTACATTTATACAACTATGTATATTTCTCCAAATCATGTCGTAATTGTCGAATCTTCACATCCTGGCTTCATGGGTTCAGGGTAGAGGAGTCCGGCTGCAGCCAATAGCGGATCAGTCTGCAGTGTAACCCCAAGGGTCCAAGTACCCAGTAATCATATGGGTGGTTGTCAAAATTAGAGTCCCTTTTGGGGTACCCGAAATAATGGGTGCCGTATTATAATAGGGACCCAAAAAGGGACCATAATATTGACAACCACCCATATACTCATCAAAAGCCTAACCTACACAACATCACTACTACCCTAACTCCGAGTACCTAATTTCCTTTTCTTATTTGGTCCTGTGGACCCTTGGGGGTAAGGGCTGGATTGATTTCTGTGCAAGCTTCCTCCCTTTGCAATCGGAAGTCGATGCTCCAAGTTTTAGTTACCCAGAAGTTCCATATACAAGGGTACTGTATTACAAGGGCACTATAATTGTAGTATAAGGGTTCTATAAGGGCTTAGGGTTTGGTGTATAAGGGTCCATATGCACTACCATGATGGAATTAGGCCTCAAAAGACCATCCCCAACATTATATGGTTTTTTGACCTAATTCCATGATAGTAGTGTATGTAGACCTAGGGTCTTGGAACCGTGTATGAAGTGTTGTCTTCAGCTGTTCGATTGTTGTTGTTTCTGCGGATCGTTTACATCAACGGACGTTTAAAAGATCTCATGCGGACCTGCACGACCCTCATCGCCGCCACAGCGCTTTCTGAGTGACTTACAACCCCGTGACCCAGTGGAGGTCTAAATCATCTGCGGCCGATGAGCTCGAAAACTATTGGTTGCTTTAAAGGTTTGCTTTTAGCTTTCCCAGAGGGTCCATATATTCTACCATCATGGAGTTTTGGTCCCAAAAGACCATCCCCATCATGGCTTTTGGGACCTAATTCCATAATAGTAGTGTAGATGGACCCTGTTGCTTTTCAACGATGCTTATAATAATCGTCAGGTTTTTATGTCGTTGCATACCATGGGCTCAGTACACTTTTCAGCCCAAGCCCCTAAGCGTCAAACCCCAAAGCCATAAAGCTGCAAACCTCTGTAAACTCTAAAACCTAAACCCTAAGCCTCAAACCCCAAAGCCATAAAGCTGCAAACCCTGGCCCCAGAATGGCATACATAGCGAGCCTTCGGCTTGGCGCTTCATGTGCTCAGAGTTGAAGGGCTTGGTATTTTGAGGGCCTGCCTGTACCCTCCGGTTACTTGGGGTGAAAATCAAATGGAAAACGTGCCAGTTCTGACCCCTGCCCTTCAGCCCTAAACCCCAGATGAGCACTACGAGCCCCAAGCGCCCAAGCTTTAGGGTTTAGGGTTTAGGGTTTAGGGTTATTATCGTAGGTACTTAGTACACGAAAGCATATACTATACGGTTACTTGGAACCTTTGGGAAGGTGCTACGGGGCGGAGGCCACGAATGCTCCAGCCTGCTCATGCCAGGCGCCAGCACGTGTCTCTTAGGGTTACCCTCTCACCCAAAGGGTCCTAATTTCCTACATGGGAGATGTTCACCCGCAAAACATACAATAGGCTTATGGGAATGCCTATTCTAGTAACCCGGCTTTCTATTACGTAGGTGCTTAGGACCTTTTGGGTCGTACTTGGAGGGTCGGGGGACTTAGTAACTGGTTATTTTAAGGACTTATAAGTACCATAACCCCAATTAGGGTCCCTTTTAGGGTACTTATAAGTCTACTTACTAAGTACTTACTAAGTCCCCCGACCCTCCAAGTAGGCAGCACATGAAAAGTTTATTCCTACTAGCGAGACCCTGACCTTCCACTGCGAAGGTGTTAGGGTTTAGGGTTTAGGGTTTAGGGTTTAGGGTTTAGGGTTTAGGGTTTTTGGTCTGCATATCTAAGCCCTTACCCTAAGGGTCCAAAGGACCCAATAATTAGGTACTCGGGTTTGGGATAGTAGCTATCTAGGTTACTGTTCTTGAAAGTATATGATAATTGGGCACTTGGACCCTTAGGGTTGCGAACCCTACATCCTAAACCCAAACCCTAAAACCTAACTCAACAGAACAGCCCGATGTAGTATGCTCTTTCTTTCCCCACAGCCTCGGACCAGACCTCATAGCCCAAGACTCAAAACTGAGTTAAGGTTTTAGGGGTTGGGTTTTGGGGTTTAGGGCCGAGGTTTTTTGGTTTAGGGTTTAGGTCTTGGGGGTGAGGGTTTAGGTATTGGGGATTAGGGTTGCAGGCTTTTGAGGGCCACATGGATGCCCAGGGCAGCGTCCACGAGCCTGGGGGTGGGCGCCTAAGGGCAAGGATCAGAGGCGGGGCCGAGGCAGGGGCACATGAGATTCCCACACAACGGACGGACCTGCGCCAGACCGCCACCACCGGTGACGCGGTGAAGGCTGTGCTGGGTGTGTCCGGGGTAATTCACCACCAGACGTCCCAGGCAGGGCCCACGGTGGAGAGCCACCCCATGATTGCAGGATCACGTGCTTCGACGCATATCATGGTTGTCTGAGCTCTCTGTGAGCCCTAACCCTCCGATCATGTTGTCTTTCTGGCTCCATGTTTTTGTTGCTCTGGGTGGCCTTCGCCGCTTGGGGTGACGACAGCGACTCGGACTGAATCCTGACGGGGGCGGAATAATCTCCTAAACCCCAAGGCCACCAGCTAGCCCGGCGGTGTAGGGGTCGATTGCGAAGCTTCGGTCGCAAGCTTCACACGCCATTTGGGGAGGGCATGGAGCCAAGCCACAGTAGCCTCGAGCAAGTGGGTTATTCCCTGGCCGACCGTGGAATGAATGATACTATGGAGTCAAAGAGTCCGTACGGTTGATGTCATAAATCCTGCATTACCCATAATAAGGAAAATACCTTAATTCCCATAGTTTAAGGTCCCTAAGGTAATGCAGGATTTATATCATCAACAGTATGTCCACTGGCGCTTGGCACGAACACCTCAGCCCGATAAGACCCCGCCACTGCCCCTGCTGATCGGACAAGTATCGGTTGTGGTGGGCACACCTCGAGAGGGCTTCTTTTAAAGGGTTTAGGGTTTAGGGCTCCTTTAAAGGGTTTGGGGTTTAGGGTTCCTTAAAAGTCGGGTTGCTTTCATGGGAGGCCAAAAGGGGTTTCAGCATATGGGGGTTTAGTAGGGATTGGGGTTCCCATAATAGGGTTCATATTAAGGAATCCCTACCCTTTTTGGCCTCCCATCACTCGAGAGGGGTCACCAAAACCCTAAACCATCAACTGTAAAACTCTAAGCCCTAAACCCACAAACTTTGAACCTTAGATCCTCAACCCCCAACTCCAAACCTTAAACCTTAGCCCAAAGGGTCCTATGTACCGATATAGTAGAATGTAGGGTTCCCATATTCGGAATTAGTATTATGCCTTACGGAAGTATCCCCCATAACAGTACATAGGACCCTTTGGGCATATAAACCCTGAACCCTACACTCCCTAAGCCCTTAACCGTAAAGCTACAACCCTCGCAGGCCCTAAGCCCCAAGCCCCAAACCTTGAACTCTGAACCCTTCCGCCAAGACCGAGCTTCCCCTGGACAAATCATAGTCGCCCCGAACCCTAGGGCTCCGTGTACCCACCCCCAAGGGCCCATGTACCGAGGCAGGGCTCCTGTTGAAGGGATCCTTCAAAGGATTCTTTAAGGGTTCATACAAGGGTTCCTAAAAGGGTTTGGGGTTTAAGGGTCCATGTACCCAAGTAGTATATACATTGGCCTTAAAGTACTCCCTATATGGGTACATTGGGCCCAAAGTATATACTATCTGGGTACATGGACCCTTAGGGTATACCATACTGGGTTTAGGCTTATAGTAGGGCTGCTGTAATTTGGCCTTCAAAGGTTCCTTTAGAAGGTTACTCCGGCTCCTTGAAGGAGCTGTAAGGTATAAGGCTCCATTTGCCTATTATGAAGGGTTCCTTTAAGCCTTTAAAGGGTTTAGGGGTTGGGGGGTTAGGGTCCTTCAGAGGGTTCCTCTGGCTCCTTGAAGGGGTTCATGAGATTGTACTATAACTGTCTGGTGCTTAGTACGGAATGGGGGAATGGATCCCTATACTAGTCCCTGTACAATCCCCGATAATAGCTCCAATATCCATTCCCCCATCCCTTACTTGGAGGGTCGGGGGACTTAGTAACTGGTTGTTTTAGGGACTTATAAGTACCATAACCCCGATTAGGGTCCCTTTTAGGGTACTTATAAGGCTACTTACTACCTACTTACTACAGTCAGCGTCCTTAGTCGCATCGATTTCATGTGATCCATGCAAGTAGTTGGGGGAAAGGGTCCAGGGAGGGTCGCATCAACTCTTCTTGAATCCATGCAAGTACTTGGTGTTTGCTATGTTTCGTACAGAACCGTAAAGTTGACCATTTCTATCTGTATCGAGCAAGCAGTTGCGGGAAACATTTCAGGAAGTCGACCCAATCATCGTGTAGTTGGGGGAAAGCATACCCAAAATACTCATGTTGCAAGAAACAACTACTCCCAGTTGCTAAATTCGTTGCGTTTCGTTCGTGGCAGCGCCAGACCTTCGGGGGAAGTTTTGTCTTGGGGTCGTTGCGTTTCGGTGTGCACATGGGGGAAAGGCTTTCAAGATGATGATCTACGGTGTTTGTTTGCTGCAGGGTCCAGGCCCTAATTCGTCCCAGCTCCAGTGTGCAGTTGGGGATTCTGCTAAAGCACGTCAATCGGGATCCTGGGACATGCTGGTAAACTAGAAAGGCTGGCTTTGTTTGTTCTTTGCTGCGATGCCACTGAAGTCTGGGGTGGTTCTTGAGTGGCTGCTTGCAAAATCGAGCGTCTACATGGGGAACGGGTGCTTTTGATGTGCTGTTTGCTGTGATGCCGCTGATGTGTTTCCAGAGCGGCTGCTTGCAAAATCGAGCGTCTGCATGGGGAATGGGTGCTTTTGATGCGCTGTTTGCTGTGATGCCACTGATGTGTTTCTTGAGCGGCTGCTTGCAAAATCGAGCGCTTACATGGGGAATGGCTGGTTTTGATGCGCCGTTTGCTGTGATGCCACTGATGTGTTTTTTGATCGGCTGCTTGCAAAATCGGGTGTCTGCATGGGGAATGGCTGGTTTTGATTTGGTGTTTGCTGCGATGCCACGGATGTCTGAGGTGTTTTTTGAGCGCCTGATTGCGAAATCGAGCGTCTACATGGGGATCGGCTGGTTTTGATGTGCTAAGATGCCACCGACATGACTGATGTGTCTCGTAGGCATGCTTGTGAAATTGGGAATGGCTCTTAAATCGCCGTTGAGGCTTTGGACATCAAAGCTAAAACTGCTTTCAAAGCACTGGTATTACTCTTCTGCTGCTCTTCCTCCTCCTGCTGCTGCTTGCTGCTGCCACCACGACCACTGCCGCTGCCATTGCCACTGCTACAACTGCGACTGTCACTGCGTCACTGCCACTCCTCCTGCTGGGCTCTGGGTTGGCAACGGAGGGCGCCGCTTACGCGCTGCTTACGCGCACCTTACGCGCAGCTTACGCGAATTGCGCCACTCACCACACAATTTTAGACCTCTGCCAGGCTCGCTGCAAATACCAACAGCAGCACGCGGGTTAAGTACACGCAAGTATAAGATCATGCATCTCAGGGTCCGTTCTTCACCTGTCCCCCGAGGTGTGCACTTGCAGAAGGCTGCAAAAGCCGAGCCGCAGCACGCAGGTATACGTGCATGCATCTCGGGGTCCGCTTTCACGCTTTCACCTGTCCCCGGAGGTGTGCACTTGCAGAAGGCTTCAAATAAGAAACAGCAGCACCCGAGTTAAGTACATGCATCTCGGGGTCCGTTCTTCACTTGTCCCCGGACCTGTCCCCCGCATGGGGGAAGCATGTACATGAGGAATGGCTGGTTGCGCTGTGATGCCAATGATGTGTGCCTTCAGCGGGTGCTGCGGAAATCGAGCGTGCAGTTAGGGGAATGGCTGGTTTTGAACTGCTGTGATTCTACCAAGAAAGGTCGGTCGACGTCAAGGGGCGCACTTAAGGGGCGCACTTATAGAGCGCATTTTGGCTATAAGTCGGAACCAATATATATCAATTTCGTTTGTTTCCGTTTCGACAGATGTTTTTTGGCGATCGTCTCGGATTCGATTATAATATTTGGAGACTGACTGGCATGCATGCAGGTCAGTTCTGTTATCAACTTCGTTTTTTCCGTTTCGACAGATGTTTCTTGGCGATCGTCTCGGATTTCGACGGACTGGCATGCATGCACGTCAGTTCTGCTGCTCGTGAGATGGATGCACAGACGCGACGCACCGTAGATTTTAAAGGCTCGAAAATTTAAACAGCACGCATGGAGTAGCAGCCCGAAACCTGAACCGGTCATTTCTTTACAATGGCACTCATGACGGCATTCACTCGATCTGCATATATGTATGTGTTAATAGATCAGCCCAAACCCCAGGCTATACGTGAAATTGCAGCTCGGCCTTAGGCCGCGAAATTCCGTGAAATTGCAGCTCGGCCCGTTACATTCCGTGAAATTCCGCGAAATTCCGTGAAATTGCAGCTCGGCTTGTAAGCTAGCTAGCACTTATAAGGGCAGCGAAAGTCCGTGAAATTGCAGCTCGGCCCGTTATATTGCAGCTCCGCACAGGGCCGCGAAATTCCGTGAAATTGCAGCTCGGGTTACATACCGCGACATTTCTGGCAGCTCAGCTATAGCACGGCCGCGAAATTCCGCGAAATTACAGCTCGGCCAGTTATATATTGCAGCTCCGGGCCGCGAAATTCCGCGAAACTCGAGGCCGTGAAATTGCAGCTCGGCCCGTTAAATACATTGCAGCTCAGCACTTATAAGGGCCGCGAAATTCCGTGAAATTGCAGCTCGGCTATATTATAAGGGCCGCGAAATTCCGTGAAATTGCAGCTCGGCAGCCTTTTGGGCGTGAAATTGCGTGAAATTCATGTGGCCGGCAAATGCAACCCTGAAAATCCCTGGGTTTTTCGAGATCGTCAAAAACCAGTGGGCGTGAAATTGCGTGAAATTGCGTGAAATTCACTACATAGAGCGCTCTATACGACCGACTGGGCGTGAAATTGCGTGAAGTTCAAAAACATACATTTTTGTAATTTTTTTTCCAAATATACCTCAAAAGTCCTGGGTGTGAACTTGCCACGTTCATGTCTGCTCTGAGGCCGGGCCGACCTCATGCAAGAATGTCCATGACAGACACAGAAGACCCTGCTCTTAAGCAGAAACTGAAGGGGTGCACCACTTATGGCTGCAATCCTCTCGGACTAGAAGCTTCACCCGCCATGTTCCGATGAAAATATGCAGCGCGTGCGATCGGCAAAAGGGCGGAGCCAGGCTAAAAGGTTCAGGGTTTAGGGTTTGGGGTGGGTTTAGGCTTAAGGGTTTAGGGTTTAGGCTGAAGTGTTTCGGGTTGAGGGTTGAGGCTTGACGGTTTAGGGTTTAGGATTGGGTTTAGGGCTTACGCCAGGCTTTTTGGGGTCGCAAGTTCGATGCATGTCCCGCTACTACAGTTGTTTCCTCGATGAGGATCTCGTCGGCAAGTGCAAGCAATTCGCCTGTACATGCATGCATAATTTCATCTCGCGCATATATGTAATTCGCACACAAGATTTCACGCATGATTTCACGCATCAGGTTTGCCTTTTGATCTGAGGCGGATCGTCGAGCACTCGCATCCTCGCACCATGAGCTTGCGGGCCTTGCAGCATTACTGCCTGCTAACCGCCCTCCGTTGGGTCGGAACCGACATGTCGTGAGTGCTGCGAGGAAAAGTCTGCAGCCGACGTACTGCTCTGTGAGTGTTCGTATACATATTGGCACGCATGTGTTCGTCGTTGTCGTATATCGAGCGGGATCTTTTGCATCTCGCCAGTCATGCTTTCTGAAAATTTGTAAGCCTGCTTGTCGAGTCATCTGGCTTGGTCGTCCGTTTAAGTATTTAAACTTCACTCAAATCCAATTTTCCTGGTTGTTGTCAAAACAAATCCAATCGAGTTTGTCTTTATTCGGTTTTCGTCACGTATTTCACGCAACTCGACAAATCTGTTTATATATCGTCCAAAACCGAAAAATGCTCCATACGGTCGTTTGACGCAAAGAGCGCTTTATGATGTCGAACGGCCTTTCTTGGTACGGCTGTTTCTGTTGAGCGGGTGCTTCTGAAAACGGGCGTCTACATGGAGAACGGCTGGCTTTCCTCAAATCTTCGCGAGACAACTGCATTTCAATCGTGAGTGGGTGCTTCTGGAATCGAGCGTGTACATGAGGAATGGCTGGTTGCGCTGTGATGCCAATGATGTTTGTCTTGAGCCGGTGCTGCGGAAATCGAGCGTGCAGTTACGGGAATGGCTGGGTTTGAAGTGCTGTGATTCTACGGCTGTTTCTGTTGAGTGGGTGATTCTCAAAACGGGCGTCTATATGGGGAACTGCTGGTTGTCTTGAAGTCTTCGTGAGACAAAGACGTGGTTTGCCTCAAGTCTCGTGCCTGGGCGCGGCATTCGAAATCCCTTGTAAGTGTGGTGTTTTACACAGTTTCCGCAGTACTTGTCTCGATACTTTTGACACTCTATATGTCCGTTCCTGCTAGTAAGCACCTGGGTGATGTGACCATGATGTGACCCCATCGCATCTGCCCAGTAGTTGCTGGTAGCATCTTCCGCACAAACTGATGTGACTAAGGCCCCTAACTGTAAGTCCCCCGACCCTCCAAGTACTAAGCACGAGGGAGATAAGGGTTCTGCGTTTAGAGTACAAGGCGGCATGTACCTATCCCTAACCCTAAGGCTCAAAATGGCTCAAAAGCATAACATAATATGGTCTTTAGCCCCAAAAGCCTTAAAATATGAGTCCTTAGAGCCTTAGGGTAAGGGTCCAAGTACCCAAATAGTAGGGTTTCAAGGTCCAAAAACCATTCAGGGTATGGATTTTGGGATCTAAAACCCTACTATTTGGGTACTTGGACCCTCTGGGTATGCACCATACACTAAGGCCTTGACGTACCTCTACATGGAACCCTTTTCACGCCTCGGTATATACTTTAAAGGTACATGGAGCCTTCAGGGAAGCCCGACAGGGTTTGCGGAGAAGGTTTAGGGTTTACATGGTTTAGGGTTTCAAGAGCACTTGAAATCCTGCGTGTTAAGTCCTCCGAGTGTTAGTTAGGGTTGGATATGCCAGTGCTTTTCAGCACTTCGAGAGTCGCTGGCCAGCTCTTCAAAGCCAAAGCAAACACTAGAGACGTCGGGCTCATACGTGCAACGAGGTGTACTTTTGTTGGTCATGATGCTGGCGAATAGGGGGCGTAATCTGGGCGTTTCCGAAAATAGGGGACCCTAATATAGTACCCCAAATAGTAGGATCCTTATTACAAGGACCTCCAAATTAGGTACCCCTAATTTTCGGAAACTCCCATCTGCGTCACCCGCATGAGCCTTTAAAAGTCCAAGCCTCCCAACTTACTTATAACCCAGAGGGTCCAGACATACTACCATTATGGAATTAGGCCCCGAAAGACCATCCCCATGATGGTTTCGGGGACCCTAATTCCATAATGGTAGTATGTATGGACCCTCTTGGTAACTGAAACCATCGAACTTCAAACCCCCTCTAACCCCTGCGAAATCTGTATTGAAGGCCGTTATAAACTGCATCCTGAACCCAAGATCCTGATCCTGCTAATCCTTAAATATCCGATGGACCCTGAACCCGTTGACCCCATAACTGATAACCTTGTATGCCTACCCGTAACCCTGGCCCCTAACTTTTATCCATAAACTCTAAACCGTAGATCTCTCTACACCTTAGATCTCTGCACCCTACGTGCTGCCTTCGCACCAAATATCCTGCCTTTTGAGGGACCTAGTCGGTTTAGGGTTTAGGGTGAAATCTTTCGAAGCAAGCCCGAGGTAGAGCACAAGGATGCTGCTCTTCCCAGGTGCAGTGTGAACACTCCTTGCTGCGGATCGGTGGCGGGCCGGAGGGCAGCAGGACGAGCAATTTGGCTTGCTTGGATTCCTACAAGGGTTCGTCGGCAGGTTTTTGTTCACAGGCTTCTCGGTACCAGGGCGCACATAAGTGTGAATCACCTAGTTCAAAAGGAAAAAGAGAGTGGTCGGAATAATATTCCCTTGCAGTCTCTTTAGTTATACATGCAGTCTTAGATGCACGTTAATTTAAGTGTCAAGCCCGATTCGAGACAGCATGGGTACTGTATTCATGTGAAAGGAGTCCAAAACGGGGACAGCACGGCAAGCAGGAGAATGGCTGCGTTCGGGCCCATGTGTTATTACACAGTGGTCGTCTAGAAGTCTGAATAATGTTGAAAATAATTTCACTCCGTAGTCCGTAGTATAATAATTATACATGCACATAATGATTCCCGAAAACCGTGCTGTAACCATGAAGGCCCTTGTTTGACAGGATTGTGTCCCTCTTTTGGTTTGTTGTGTAGTCTCTGGTACATTCATGCATGCAGACACCAAAGCCTCTGCTGGCTTTAGTGGTTAGCTTAACAGAAACACAGAGCGAGAGCGAGATAACAACAGCAAAATATTTTCAGCTTTGTGCTCCAACTTCGTGTGCTAGCCCTGTGGATGCCGCATTCCGTAAGAGTCCAAGTGGCTAATTATCTTGTACTCTCCAAAATTGTAACCTCCACAACTACTATCCTCCACCCGAGTACCTAATTCTTGGGCCCTTTGGACCCTTAGGATTATGTTCCTTTCAACTTGCCCGCTTCCCGAGCCCAGTACACGCTAAGTCGCTTGAGCCTTTACAATCCTGAAATCCCATAAGCCTTCACGCCCGAAAACCATGTATCCGAAAACGGAGCACTAAATCCTGAATAAGAAGGAAGGTGTTTTGGACATAGAGCAGAGGTGGGGATGGATACTATGTCATCCGGTTCTGGAGCTCGTATAAGTATGTTACAGCACAACGCGAAAGCCTGTTCTCATTATTGAATCCGCTATAGTAGCATTCTAGACCCCAAACCCCGAACCGTTCTCGTAGACCCTGATCTGCCTCATGTAACCCCAAAGCAAGCCCTTAGAGGAACCAATTTCTAACTGACGAGAACTCAAAACCCTAAACTCAAAGCCAGTGCATCCGCAGGACATGCGAGGCTGCGACGAATGGCGAGTACTCCTTCGGTCCCTCGTCGGTTTGGGTTTACGGGCATGTACAAGGGCGGAGACCATACGGGCTTCAGAAGTCAAGAGTGTAGGGTGTGTTTGGAGTTTTGGTATGTGCAGACCGGTTACATGTGAAGCAGCGGGTTTTGGTGAGCGTATGCGTGGCTGGTGAGCGTGTTTTGACGATACTAGTTAACAATCAAAACCTTACCTCATGTGGGTTTTATGGTTGTGGCTGTGAGCCAAACTTTCAAGCTCTACGGGTCCATCGTATCGAGTAGCTGGGTATTCGGATTAGGGTAGCAGTATCTGATTATCTGTCGGCTAGACTGGGGGCCCTAAACCCTAAAACCCTAAAGGGGGGGGGGGGGGGGGGTTCTGGTTTACAGAAGTGCAAAGGGTTGGGGCAAACTTGCTAAGCCCCGTGGTCCTCCAAGTAACTCGGCCTCGAAGCTCAATAGCTGAAATACTTACTACAGCTGTGTAGAACGGGCCTATATATACATATATATATATATATATATGTATATGTATATCTATAACTACATATATATATATATGTATGTATGTATGTATATATATATATATATATATGTATATATATATATATGTATATGTAGGTGTATAGATATATGTATATGTATATGTAGGTGTATATATATATATATATACATACAGATAGACTACATAAGGCAGGCCGTGGCCAGCGCTGGCCCAACGAGTGTTTCAGACTTTCCCCGCTTCTCGGGTCCCTGAGAAGATGCCCGGCAGCTTCCTGCACATCAAAATGGCACAAAAGCCCTACATGGGATGTGCTTTGGGCCCAACAGGTTTGAAATGTGGGTCCATAGTAACTGGGGAGCATAGTATGATATAAGCTAACATAACCTATGTAGTATACTAAGATATATCACACTGCGACATGATCCACGACACTGTTTCGAGTCTCAGTTGCTAGATCGTAATTATGGAATTATAGGTACCGCAAGCAAACCGCAGTGGGGATGGTCTTTTCGAATCTAATTCCATGGAGGTAGTAAGTATATATGGACCCTCTGGAGTACAGTACAGGTCATGGCCTTCGAGGACGGCAATGACCTGCTCCCGAAAACCGTAGTTCAGGATAGTTTGGTCGTTCTTACTTGAAGGATCAAGGGAACCCTAAACCCTGTAAAGGGAACTCCAGAAAGTTGGAATATGGATTTATGGTAGGATCCCCTATAATTTACCTTAAAGGGGTTACGACAATGATATTCTAACTTTCTGGCTTCTACTGTAACCCCTAAACCCTAAAACCCAGGGTTCCTTAACGGGATCTATATTGGGGGGTTGAGGGGCTCCGTCGTTCTGATCTACTTCGCCGTCAAGCCCGAGCTGGGTTTAGGGTTTAGGGTTTAGGGTTTTAGGGTTTTAGGGTTTAGGGTTTTAGGGTTTAGGGTTTTAGGGTTTTAGGGTTAAGGTTTAAGGGGTTTAGGGTTTAGGGCATAGGGCCGGCGGGCTGTGTGGTCGAGGACCTGCTGGATAGGCCGCAAACGTCTTCGAACACCACACCGAAAGCTTACTAGGGTCTAGTTTTTTTCTTTGTATTGTAGGGGGCGGAAGCATTCGTAAGAAAATACTTTTATAGTGTTCTTGTGTCCACTGGGGGTACACAACATCCTTCTCAAATTCAACCCTTCTATATACCGTAACTATCCCAAAGACAGCAACAAGAGCAATATTTACACTGGTACATAACAGAATCATGGTGATAAGACCCTGCAAACTTCATCATGGCCATAGCAAGATTTGCAAAGCCAGCCCAAGTCGTGTGTTAGTGCTGTAGTCACAGCAAGAATATCTGTATATCCTGTTGTTCACACAGGTAGTTATAAGCGCACACGTCCACACATGCACACGTATACGTACTTACATGCGTATGTATGCATGCATATGGCATTTTATGTGATGGTATGTACGTATGTACTCTAGGAGAGTCTAAGCATGCATGTATGTATGTAGCATGTAACCATGCATGCATGTATGCATGTGAATGCATGCATGCGCGGATGGATGGCGGGAATCTGCACGGATGTTTAGATGAAAAGGGTTCCGTGCAGACATACATACAGATGCATTTGACATACTGTGTGTGTATATATGTATATGTGGCTATAAGGTTTAAGTACTTGTTATTTTACTGGATTGTTCGTGAATGACTAGCCAAGGGTAAAGATAAACAAAGTTATACACAATGCGTATATAGGAATAAGATGCATAGAGACCATTCTGCCAGGTCTTCCACCCGCATGTCAGATGAGGCGCCATCTCGCTGTCTGGGGGTTTTAGGGTTTAGGGTTTTAGGCCCAGCAGGAAGGGTTTCGGCGTGTTCACGGAGCCCGAATGCCCTTCTGGAATGCCTTTCAGGCATTGAGGGTTCATGAATTGATTAATGAAGTTGGGGTTCATGGTTTTGGGGTTTCGGGGGCGAGTAGGGTTTAGGATTTTGGGGTTCGTGGTCGACAGTTTGGGGGAAGGTTAGCGCCCCAACAGCCAGTGCAGTGGCTTCCAAAATCACTCAGACCTACTTGTGGGTTGTTCTGACCACTCATCATAAGCAATGAGCCTTCTAGCAATGGGCTGGAAGTTTCCATTTAAAGTCTTCGCCAATCCAAACGATTGACCCTGAAGGGAATCTGTTGAGAGGTACTACAATAGCTTTAACAAATCATGAACATGGCCACACGCCGCTTTCAGTCCTTGTACAACAGCAAGACGGACTCGTCGACTTTTAACAGCCATTAGAGCTAGCAGCGTTCATGACCGCAGTAAATCAGCCAATCTTGCGTCGCACTTACGCCTGCTTCCCCGAACAAGAATGCTGGGCCAGTGGCAGGGGTGGGTCGCACACCAACCGCGCAGGGAAAGTAGCATGAGCGACCAGGAGAGCATCATCATCTTCTTCTTTTTCAGCAGCCCTTAAGCTCAAAACCCATAAGCCTGTATCACACCCCCACTGTAAGGGAGTTTCCGAAAATAGGGCACCCTGATACAGTGCCCTTAATAGTAGGATCCCAAAATAAGGTACCCCAAATTTTCGGAAACCCCCCTTAAGCCTTTATCAGCCCAACACTCAAAACCCTAAACTGAAGGCCGGCTGCTCCGCACTGCCCATCGGTAGATGCCCCGGGTCTGCGGCCATCGGAATGTGCGAACGAGGCCCTCGGTAAAGGACCTGTAGTCATAGGGACCCTTAGGGTGGTACGGGGAGGGAAGGTAGGGGGCTTTAATGCCCACAATAAGGACCCAAGAAGGCCTATTTAAGGAAGCATAGTCCCCTACCCCCCTCCCCTACTCCCCTAAGGGTCCCTATGATTGGAAGAAAAGTAAGTATTTAGGGGCCTTCATAATTACCTATGGTTTCCTTTAAAGGGTACCTTGAAGGGCTATATAAGGGTCTATAGTAGGGTTCTATAATATAGCCCTAAGGCTCCATGTACCCTCATAGTCGATATTTAGGCCTTAAAGTACCTACATAGGGACCACTTTAAGGCCTAAGTATCTACTATACGGGTACATGGAGCCTTTGGGTAGGGGCCTTAGTACATACCTGCGGGTTCCTTTAAAGGGTGCCCTAAAAGGCTCTAATAAGGGTCTACAGCAGGCTTGTATGAAACAGAGGCCTTAATAATTGCCTATGGGCTTCTTTAAAAGGTACCTAGTTGGGTTCTATAATATGGGGGCTTTCATAATTACCTATACTATTTTGCGGTTTTTTGTGTTGTTCGTGTAGTACTGGGCCCCAAAGCCCTATTCTAATCATTAAGGCCCGTACATTACCCCAAAGCCCACCCCAAGCCCTTAGCTCAAAACCCCAAACCCCAAGCTCTAAACCAAAAATCCGGCCTAAACTTAAGCGCCTGCCCCCAATCTTCTGTGTCCTTAACCAACCCTAAACCCTAACCCCAAGGGTCCAAAGGACCGAATAGTTAGGTTATGTAGGTTAGGATTTTGGAGAGTATATGATTATTCGGTACTTGGACCCTTGGGGTAAACCCTATAAACACCAACTTCTAAACCCCTAAACTTAAACAGCGAGGTGTTAGATAGTTACTCCACACTCCAGGACCACTAGAGCCTTGTGGAGTGTGGAGGTCGCACTGGGGCTTCAAGCCGAACCCGGAGCACTGAAAGCAATAACGGCGCTTTAAAGATGTTCCGCCATTATTTTACCCAAGTTGTTTGGGGCTCAGGTAATAAACGCGCCGCAAGGTCAATGTCCTCTCGGAGGGGACTCACATGATCTCCTTATTTGCGGGTTTTCTTCAGGACGTCGCGACGTCCCCGGTTGAAGGCATAGCACTGACCGACCAGGCAGTAGCTGATGCCCTGACTTCCTTCCCAGAGAAGCTGGCTGCGGCCTTGCAAATGCCTGTGACTACTTGCACGCTTGCGTCCTGGGCCGGGATGCCGGCGAACCCTATCGACCTCGTAGGCATCGAGGCCATGATGCGCATGCTCAACAGCTCTTACACGGCAACCGGAATGAGGCCGACCATGCTACGCTCTGGAAGGATCAACACCGCTGGCAGGCACACCCTCCATGCGGATCTCGTGCATGCTGTGGGTGAGACTCGCTTGAACATCGACGCTGAGGCATGGGCTCGCGAGGTGGCAAACAGGGTGAATATTACGGACATTCCCACTTTCTTCGCCATGGTGAGACAGGACAGGTCACAGAGGCGATGACGGACGTGCCCGCCAACAGAGTCTGAGTGATCGATGACTCCTCGGACGCCTTGATTTCGGACTCGTGTCAGCTGTCCCGTAAGCCCGAGCCCCGCCCCCGCCCACCAAAAACTTTCAATCCTGAACCCGAACCCACACCCCATTTATCCATCTATCCTACACCCCAAACCCTGACCCCTGGCCCTAACCCTAACCCACCCACCCACATCGCCTGGCCCGCGAGTCAGCAAGTTTAGACCCCCTCATGTATTCCACCCAAGGCCCACATGCCCATATACTATATATACTTAGGCCGCAAAGTAGTCTCAAGTATGTATTAGGATTTGCAGGGTTTAGGGTTTCGGTGCTTTGAAGCCAGAGTATACACTACATCGGTGGACGGACCTTTAAAGAACCTTCTCAAGGCAGAGGGAGAGTCAAGGGTCTGAGTTCACCTCGGCCCTCCAATGCCCCATCCTTGGGGCGCATGGACGCTTCGGTGTAATCAACTCGTCTTTCGTAGGATATTGAGCTTCACGCGGTAGTATCTGAGCCTTGGATCTTAAACCCCTGAACCCTGAACACATCCAAAACCCATACTCCTGAACTCTAACATCATAGCCCCAAAGACCCTAAACTTGCAAAACCAAAAGCCAAAGACCCTATAAACCCTAAACTTCTAAACCCCTAAACACCAAAGACCCTATAAACCATAGTTAGGCCCTAAACCCTAAGCCCTAAAGCCTAAGCCCTAAACCTTAAACCCTAATTAAACCCTAAGCCCTGCGCCCTAAACCTTAAACCCTATACCCTAAGCCCTAAACCCAACAGACCGCTAAACCCTAAACCTCTGATTAAACCTTCATAGCAACCCGTATAGAACTCTTATAGTAGCCCGTTGTATATCCCTTAAAATGACATCAAATTTCAGCCCTAGAGGCCGGTGGCACTTGCAACGTGGCCTGCGAGCGAGGCTTCGTGTCATTGACTCAGCTTTCGCCCGGTCCTTTTACTACCCTAAGGCTCTAAGGACTCATATTTTCTGGCTTTTGGGTCCCCTAAACCCTAAACCCGAAAGGCTTTTGGGCCATTTTGAGCCTCAGGGTTAGGGTGTAGAAAGGGGGGGTCCTTTTAGGGAGGTTTAGGGTGCCTTTATGTGCCTTTAAGGGTTCAATCCAAGAGGGTCCATATACACTACTATTATGGAATTAGGCCTCCAACACCATGGTTTTTTGGGACCTAATTCCATAATGGTAGTATCTGTGGACCCTCTGGGAATGAGGATTCTTTCAAGGGTTTGGGGTGTAGGGTCTAGGGGTTAGGGTTGAGGGCTTCTGCAGACTATACCTGCCGAGGGTTCGAAGTACACAATCGTCGTATAACACCCTAAACCTCTAAACTCCGAGCCCTAGACCCTAAAGCCCCCAAAATCCTAAATTTCTGAGCCCTAACTGGGCAGCCCTCCCAAAATCCTAAGTTTCTAAGCCTTACCTGGCAGCCCTCCCAAAATCCTAATTTTCTAAGCCCTAAGTGGGCGGCCCTCCCAAAATCCTAATTTTCTAGGGCCCAACTGGGCAGCTGAGGCGCACAGACGGCGGCGAAGAAGGGGAGAAGGTCTGCCGCGCGAAGCCCAAACAGCTCGAGGCCCACTCCTCGGGAGAATTCATGCGAAACCCTATATATATATATGTATGTATGTATATCTATCTATCTATCTATCTATCTATATATATATATATACAAATGTCTATATCTATCTATCTATATATATATATATATGCTTTAGACCCATGATGAAATTCTGCTAAATGCCTCGAAAACTCTATTTCTTGCAGTGTCTGCAGCCCAATAGCGCTTGAAAGACTCCAAGAGCTACTTTAGCTGCTGAAACAAACAGTTAGTTGTGAGGACTACTATTCAGTACAGGACAAATCCTTGGTTTTTTGATTCAACATGAATCTCTCACTCCTGCTCCACGATTTACCGTTCAGGGTTTGGGTGAACCAGCCTGCATAAGACCAGCCGACCAGCCATGACCGGATGCATGTCTCCTCCTCAACTTCATGTTCAAGTTGACTGATGTGTGTTCGCTGCTGCTCTCTTCATTTTCGTCATCATCATCATCATCATGGTCATCACCTTCATCACCATATCACCTTTGCAGTACATGCTTGTAATTCATACGACATCATCCATAGCCCCGGGTTGAGTTAGAACAGAGAACCACTTACCTCGTTGGATCTTTGCTTGGCGATTCAAGTTATTGGCATAGCTATCTTTGAAACTTTGCTGTTCGCATCCAGTCAGCGGCATGCTGTTGCGGACATCACTCATTGTCAACCACAGACGCTACTTATCCTCAAACCCGAACCCCTAAGGTCAGGAGAAAGGCTTCTTCTGATTGCGTTGTCCAAGGAGTGCGAACCTATGAAATCGAAAGGCTTGTTTGGTTTTAGGGCTTATGCGGTCATGCAAATTTGATTTCATTGCATCAGATCCCGGGAAACGACTCACAAGGCAGGCTGTGAAAATCCACGCATAACCTGCATCTGATTTCCGACATTTTCCGACAAGCTCATGCACGTACCTTTGCAATGAGCCACTCGTGCCATATCCATCAGCATATAGGTTAGGTATAAGTTGATATAAGCGCCACATATAACAATCCACATGTGATTGTCACGCTACCATCCCATTCCAATCTCTGCGGAGACTCTACCGAGCCGCTCCGAACACCCTTGTTTTGAAGCAAGAGCAGGAGCTGGATGCATTAGTGGATTCCTAAATGAGTGCAGGGTCCAGCCGAGGAGGGTGAGCATCTAGGGTGCGCTGTCATCTTTGGAGGTGCAACTTGCATTCTCTAGCCCTACCCACGGCAACTGCCCTGACGCGAGCGTTTGCTCATCGCGGGGTTCAGGAGCCGTCACACCGTTGGCCGGGTGTGGGGCACACGCCGTGCAAAGTCAGTACTTGGCGTCCTTTGAGGCCAACATGCAGGGACGCATGCAGTCATGCACTTCCCGAGCATATGACAGCAGGACGAATGGGCTAATGTGCCTGCTGGGGGACGCTTCAAGGGAAGCTTAAAGCCAAATAGCTTTGGCTGCTTGGGCTGCGGCGACAGGAGGGCAGGCCAGAGAAACCAGTCCTTCCCCACGAGTCCAGTTACAACAATCCAGTATAAGTACCTATGAAACTTCGCTGTTTAGGCAACATGACTCTTGCGGGTTTGACCCTGTCTTGGATCCGCCATGTCCTTCTCTTCGCATTGTGTCACGCTCCGTGGTGCATCATTCTTGAAGAAAAAAGGGGAAGCTCGATAGTGTCGTTCCACAGCTCAGTATTCAGTGCATTTTCAAGTTCAGTGCTGCAGCACCCATCCGAACTGCCAAAAAGTTGTCCCTCTACGATTCCTGGACCGCGGCTTACAGACTCCGCACTCCTCGCCTCTTCATGGATTTGGGTTCAGGGTGTCTAGGCAGCCATCAAACACAATCATGTGGTCTACGGTTGATGGTACAAATCCTGCATTACCCATAATAAGGAATATACCATAATTCCCATAGTTTTAGGGTCCTTAGGGTAATGCAGGATTTTATATCATCAACCTGAACCCGAAACCCTAAAACCCTATAGATCCCTGAAAAGTAACCTTGTAGATCTCCTTCAGGGAACCCCAGGGTTTATATCATCAACAGTGTTATCCTGTAGTGCACCCGGCCTCCCCTCGCTGTTACTTTGTCATAGTTGGGTAACATGTTCAGTGATCTTTAGGGTTCTTTTAAACGGATCTACAGGGTTCCTTAACAGGGATCTATAGGGTTGGGTAACATTTAACATTTTTATGGGTACTTACACCCAATAAGGAATAAACGTCTACATTTTTAATCCTATCCCAACCATGAGCTAGGTTACAGGATGCATGCAAGTGTGCTATGTGCGCGGAGCTCTTGCAGCAAACTTTCTCCACGGTTTTCACACAGCTTCGCTTGGCGTTGGCCCAAAGATCCTGATCGGTGCTTGCTTGCAGAAGCGCTCCGACACAGCTGTTTCTTCCCAGAGACTCCAAAACCCCTTGATCAAGGAATATACCTTAAATCATAGTAGGGGTCCTTTTCTGATTTAAGGTACATTCCTTAATGAAGGAATGTTGGAGGCTCTGGGTTCTTCTCGTGACGCCTGGGACTCGGCACTATTGGATTGAACGCTTTGGGCATGTTGGAGGATCTGTCGTTGCAGAGGCGAAGCCTCGCGGAACTGGTGACCGCGAGCCTGTGCAATGGCAGCGGCCCTGTCACTCTTGACGAAGTCCGTACTTGGCGTCCTTTGAGGCCAACATGCAGGGACGCATGCAGTCATGCACTTCCCGGGCATATGACAGCAGCACGAACAGACCAACGTGCCAGCTGGGGGACGCTCCAAGGAAAGCTTCAAGCCAAACAGCTTTGACTGCTTGAGGGTCTATAGGGCCCCTTCGTGGATGTTCAACTATCGATCCAGGACGTTGCGTGTGTGGTCTTCTGTTCTGCAACCCACAGGGTCCAAGTACCAATATAGTAGGTACCTAGTACGCTAAAGCTTAGACCATACGTTTACTTGAACCCTTTGGGCAAGTCACAGGAGTTCGATCTGCAAGCGGCCTGCTTCCTTTATCCATCTCTGCATGTCGGCATGCCTTAGGCCTTCGAACAGGGAAACCTAGGGCTCCGTATACCCATGGGTTCCTTTAAGGGTTCTATCAGGGCACACTAGTGGTTTCGGGCATAGTATATATTTTGACTTTCAAAGGGGTTCCTATGTGTGCATTTTGCTGCTTAAGTATATACATGGAGCCTTTGGGGAATGAAGTTCACCCATAACCCAAGAGGCAAGTGGGTCGTCTCTTCTCTTGCAGAGAGGGTGCGATGGAGGCATTTTTGGTAAGCTTCCAACTCATATTACCCCAAGGGTCCTTGTACTCGTAAAGTATGTTACCCACAGGCTCCATGTACCCTTACAGTAGATACTTAGGCCTTTTATTAAAGTGGTCCCTATATAGGTACTTTAAGGCCTAAGTATCTACTATAAGGGTGCATGGAGCCTTAGGGTTATACTATGGTCTTACATGAGTCTTAAATTTCAAAGTACTCCCTACTGAGGTCCTGGAGGACGGAAGTAGGTACTCACGAAATGAGTTCAAGGACCCTCATACCCAGACCCCCCCGTTACCCCCCTCTATACCGCACATACCATCCGGGCTCTGTTAAAGGGCACTGGGGGCCCCGGTACTCCAGAACATAAGTAAGGGCCTTGTCGCTTATACAAACAATCCCTATACGGTATATGAACCCTAAACCCTTTCAGGGTTGATTTCACCCTTAAGCCCACCCCCTACACGCTTATAGAACCCTTAGAGGAGCCCTGAAAGAAGCATTAAAAGGAGCCCTTTTAGTGGAGTTCATTTCGCGCTCAATCCAGAGAGTCCATATATACTACCGTCATGGAGTTAGGCCCCAAAAGACCATCCCCATTATGGTTTTTGGACCTAATTCCATAATAGTAGTATGGACCCTTATTCCCTAAACCCTAAACCCTTATAGAACCCCTACACTACCCTTACAGTGCCCTTATACTACCCTTGTAGCACCCTTATACTACCCTTACAGTAGTGTATATGGACCCTCTTGGTGAATAGTTATCTCTAACTCTAACCCTCAGGCCTCCGCGTGTTTCCTGCAACTCACGGACCAAAGCCCAGAGACCCAGTGACGGAAGGTACTGCATAATTAAGGGCACAGGTAACCCTAAGGTTTTACTGTAGAGGATTAAGGTTGAGGGGTTTGGTTCTAGGTTTTACCGTGCGAAAGGTGTCGGAAAATTACCATATGCATGCCCTTGTAGTCCTTCTATGCTTTTGTATATGGTAACATACCTCCAACCCGGCTCTAATTATTGAGGCACTTTCCACATGGTCATTGGATCCAAGGGTAACAGGAGGGACCCTTAATAAGGACCCCTAGGTATATACCCTTGATATAGCTATTATATACCCATTATATAGCCCATTATAGGGTAGGGGTCCCCAGCAAGGGTCCCTCCTTTTCCCCTTTCGCTGGATCATGAAACCTATCTTAGGAGCTTCAAAGAGGCTCAGTGACCAGATGCACCTATCTTCGGGGTATTTAGAAATAGCTTTTAATTTTTGGTTATCATAATCCCTAAGAAACAGCTAAAATTATATTTTAAGCGAGGGTTCTAAGTTCAGTATAGTTATATTGCCGACGTGTTGGCAGAAGATTCCCATAACCCCAAGGGTCCAAGCACCTATAATAATCATACACTCTCCGAAATCCTAACCTACATAACTACTATCCTAAAACTGAGTAATTAATTATTGGGTCCTTTGCACCCTTGGGGTAACATGTGAGGAGTCGTCCAAAGCCCTATGGTATGTTTTAAGCCGGTGTATGTACTGCTATAGGTTCCTAAGGGTCCAAGAGCCCAAATGGTAGGGCTTTGGGTCCAAAAGTTCATACTTTGCATGGTGTTTGGCATCTGTAGCTGAAACTCATTATTAGGGTCCTTGGACCCTCATGGGATACATGGGCAAAAGATGTATTGAGACACTACTGCATAGTATCCAGACTCTTCTCTTAGCCACCGGAAGGAGGTGCCTGTACACTCTAATGGAGAAGTTTGAACTCACTTTTCATAGCTATACTCTGATATGCCCGAAAACGCTCTTTCGTGCATAAGGGGCTGCTGCCTGTCAGGTGAAGACTTGTGAAGACATTATGGAGGAGGAGGAATGCCTTAACAGACGCGAACTCAGGTTCAGGATGCAGTTGTTGACAATTGTATCCCGAACCCTGGATCCTAAAGCCTATGCCACTAAATGGACAAGTCACAAGTCCCTGGACAAGTCCACTCTTGTTGAAACCGGGTTCATGTTGCGTCGTCATCCCGAAACGTCCATATAGATTCCAGGACCGTATACAGCATGGCGCGAGAATGCTAATGTGCATCTTTCCGAGGTTTTCCTCAACCCTAAGCCTGGTTGGTGCCTCCTTAAAGTCTAGGGCTTAGGGCTTAAATCTGAAATTCCGAAGACTTTGTCTCGAAGTGCCGTTGCTCTACATGATCCTTCTTTCCCGACTTAAAGGCCCAGTTCAGGGGAAGAGGGTCCTGACTGTGCGGAAAATCTTTATATATACATACATGCACACATGCATACAGACATACGCATAGTTATATCTGTACATATACATATGCACGTATTGATCGTGTGTCTTGCACTTAAGCCTAATTATCAAAGGATACATGGATACATGGTTATCAAAAGCATTTCCATCGGGTCTTTGGGCCCATTGTACCTATATAGGGAGTACTGTAAGGCAAAAGTTTATACTCTTTAGCTACATGGACCCTTAGGGTAAACCTCGGGGGTTGTATGCATACAGGATCGTAACCGCAAGAGCCTTAACAAGAAAAATGGTGTGAGGTACTACAGACCAAGGCTTAGGTACAGCTTAAGACAGTCGATTGCACTTTCTGGGCTTGGGTGTTCAATTGTGAGGGTTCATGATTTATTTCATGAGGTCTCAGCTCCTTGTGAGATGTCGATTCATGCCAGCACTTCAGTCTTGCCCCCCAAACCCCAGGTATGCTGCACGAAAGCATCTTCGAGATGCCTACATAGGTACTTGGAGGATCATGGGACTTAGTAACTAGGGTTATAAATAAGGTAACTATACTTATAACTCCAATTAGGGTACTTATAACCTTGCTTACGAAGTCCCATGATCCTCCAAGTAGGTTCTGCATTGTCCATGTGTGCGCGATTCGTGATTCGTGAACACTCTACCTCGGCTTCTTTAGTGAGGTCTTTTCTAAGCAGGTTGTCTAGCCCGGATCCCAGAAGGTGCAAACGCTACAACCTCACGCCATAACCCCCAAGCTCCAAACTGTAGTCCAACAGCAGAATCTCAGAAAGCCAAATAACCTCTAACAGAGCAACATGCCCTGAGGAGCAACATACCCTGAGTTAAAGAGCGTTGAACATTACCCTGAGGGTGTATATGTGCTCATATAGTATACGCTTCTTCGAAGGCCAAAGTATACGTACACTAATCCAGTAAATGTATCTTTGGGTAGGGTCTGCAGATTGTTCCGTAGGTCGGGAACCTTGGGCTCTATAGGATCTCTGAGAGCCCTGAAAACCTGTCGAAAACCACCATCTAGCACTAAATTTCTGGGGTTTAGGGTTTGGGGTTTCGGATGTAGGGTTTAGGCGGTTTAGGTTATGGCCGTTAGGAAGCGGCGTAGGTTATAAGGGATTAGGGCCACGTTTTAGGTGAGACCTTGACCACGGGCCTTGCACAGCATGCTTTTTCAAAAAGATCAGACTTAAATGAACCTCTGCACAATCCATGCCCAATTAAACTATCAACATCATATAACAGCCGTTCCAACATCCCATATTGTTAGAGTATTGTTACCACACAGGACTGGGAATTGCAAGACTATGGAAATACCTCCACATAGCCCTTTTAAGCCTCCAAAACTCTTCGCAAAAGCCATCACTGAACCCAAAACCCTTAACCTGGACAAAGCCCTAAAACCTCCATGGCCCCCTGAAAGCACTGTACCCCAACCCCGAAACCCCTAACCCCCAAAACCCTTAAACTCTAAACCCTGGAACCCTAAACCCTAAAACCCCTAAACTCTAAACTCTAAACCCTAGAACCCCTAGAACCCTGAACCCTAAACTCTGAACCCTAGACCCTTAAACCCTGAACCCTAAACTCTGAACCCTAGACCCTTAAACCCTAAACTAAGCCCTAAAACCATCCTTAAAACCCCGGGAATCTCCCCAGGTCACGGACAGGGCCATACCGGAGGCGATGTCTGGAGCGCTCTCCCCTGCTGTTGGAACAAGGCCGTGACCTGGGATCTATGGGGTTCCTTTAAAAGGGATCTCTAGGGTTCCTTTAAAAGGGATCTCTAGGGTTCCTTTAAAAGGGATCTATAGGGTTCCTTTAAAAGGGATCTCTAGGGTTCCTTTAAAAGGGATCTATAGGGTTTAGGGGTTAGGGGTTAGGGGTTTAGGGTTTAGGGTTTAGGGTTGCCCGTGACCATCTCCCCAAGGGTCCCAAGAACCCAGTAATTGGGAACTCGGTTTTCGGATAGTAGTTATGCAAGTTACAGTTTTGCTGAGGGCCTTCGTTGTCTCTTAAACGAATTTTGAGGTTTTAGGGTTTGGGTCTAAACCCCAGATCCTAACGTTGAGGGTTGCATCCCGTAAGGTTTGAGGATTTGGGGGTTTGGGGTTGGTAAGGTTGAGCATTTGTGGTTGGGGGTTGGGGAGGCGGTTTAGAGTCTGGGGTTTTCGGGCCCTGAGTAGGCCCTTATTCCCTTTTTTGGATTCAGGTTCTCTTATAACACCCTTGAGCTCAACAAGGGCACTCTTTTTATTCCTAGGTTACTCGTAGGTCTAGGCTTTGAGTGTTTTGAGAGTTGGGCTTCGTTTGCGTGAGTAGCCCATATCTGCTGCGATTGCTGGAAAACCTGTTTCGGCCGGGGACCGGAAAAGGCCAGCAAGCGCTTCAGACCAGCACACAACTAAGAAGGGCTGGTCGGCAGGGAGCATGCGCTCACCAAGGGTCACGGCCAGGTTCGTCAGTTGATCTAATTTGGATTGCTGTTTTTCAGAAACTATGCGAAATGGTTTGTATCCAAACATGTAGGGTTTAGGGGTTTAGGGTTTAGTTTTTGCTTGATGGTGCTGCAGGATCGATGGAGTCTACTTTTAATCAGGCTAATTATAAGTACAAGGTGGGCTGTACGACGACCAACCCATTAGCTCAAGGGTCCAACTATCTAATAATCATATGCTCTCCAAAAACCTAACCTACATAACTAATGTCCTAAAAACCGAGTACCCAATTACTGGGTCCTTTGGACCCGTAGGGTTACTGACACGAGAAGTGACATATCACCGTGCTTAAGCAAGATCACTGATGAATTGCCGTGCGCCTTCAGGCATTTACACCATTTGATCATATCTATTGGGGGAGTCCCTAAACCCTTTACCTTAAACCCTAAAGGGAGTCCCTGGCACAGGGCAGAGGGAGATGCGACTTGAGTCGCTTCGGGTTTTGCAGTTTGGCTCTGACGGAGTACTACCATTTTGGGAGGTTCCTTATTATAACGAGAGTATAATGTGCACCAAGACCCTATTCTAACTGTAAAATCCCTATATTAGGGCTTTACGGCCGAATTACGAAGTTCAATCCCAACTAAGCCTTGACCCTGGACACTACACAGTGAACCTTAAACCCCGAACTCCATACCCAGGTGAATCTTAAACCCTGAGCTCCATACCCAACCGAATCTTAGACCCTGAGCTCTATACCCAAGCCCCCCCGACACCGCACTTGCAATGCCAGGAGGGCTTCGGCAACGGCAAGAAGTGCCTGCAGTCTGGCTCTTCCGTTATCAGCCAGCTTCCTGGGCTTCTGGCTTTACAGGTTTAGGGTTCAGGGGTTCAGGGGTTCAGGGGTTTAGGGGTTAGGGTTCAGGGGTACTAGGGTTTAGGGTTTGGGGCCCTATGGGAGGAACCTCGTAGAAACCCTTTCAAGAAGGAAAGCCGGCATGGGTGCTTGGGGTGTGGGGAGCTCGGTTGCGAAGTTGAGCCTCTTTCAGTCTGGCTTATGGGTTAATATCGTGCGCATTGTCGACTAAGGCTCTACAAAGCCTAAACCCTAAACCCCTAACCCCTAAACCCCTAAACCCTAAACCCCCAAACCCTAAACCCCTAAACCCTAAACCCCTAAACCCCTAAACCCCTAAACCCCTAAACCCTAAACCCTAAACCCCTAAACCCTAAACCCTAAACCAAAGAGTCGGGGGAGTCCAGGATGGCGATGACGGCGCTGGTCTTGATGATCGGGACGGTGGCGATGACCAAGAACAGAGCCAGAGATGAGTGCTTGCTTGGAGGTTCATGGGACATGTTTTTTAGGGTTTAGGGTCCCCTTTAAGGGTGCCATAGGGCTATCCTAGGGTTCCCTTTAAGGGCTTGGGGTTGAGGGTTCATGGGACATCGTAACGAGGGTTATAAATATGGCAACTATACTTACAACTCCAATGAGGGTACTTATAACCTTACTTGGTCTTACTTACTAAGTCCCATGATCCTCCGAAGCACTCCAAGCGTCGGCACAACGAGTGAGGGCTCCCAGCTGATGCCTCCGTGGAGGTCCGCGACTGGTGGCCCTCAGAAGGGGACTTGGTGAACCCACCACATCGCGGCCAGATCGCTCTACCGCGCGATTCGCGTAGATTCGCAGAGACGAGGGTAGGAGAGGCCCTGAGGCTGATTTTTCAGCCCGACGACTCGCTGTTTTGTCACATCGTTTATCGCAGGCGGGAAGTGGAAGGCCTTCATGGGAGTTGCCGAAAATAGGGGTAACTTATTTTGGTGTCCTTATTATAATAAGGGTTCCACTATTTAGGTACTAGGTTAGAGTCCGGTCTTTTCTGAACCTCTCTCATCTGCCTGGAGATCCTCCAGCTGAACTAGCACGAGGTCTCCTAGCCCCATGCCATCCTCAAGCCCTATACTACCCTAAACCTGTACTTGGAGGATCAGGGGACTTAGTAAGTAGGTTTATAAGTACCCTTTCTGGAGTTTTAAGTAACTATAAGTATAGTTCACCTATGTATAACCCTAGTAACAAAGTCCCATGATCCTCCAAGTAGCACCCTAGTAGGAATCCTACACCCATACGAACCCTGAACGGAACCCTTTTAGAGTACATGTCGTCCTTCAGCTCTACACCCTACACCCCACAAAACCCCATAGCCTTTGTCGGAACCCTTGTAGGACTACAGGAACTCTCATAGACACCCTTAAAGGAGCCTGTCCACGGTACATGTCATTCTGACAACCCCACCCCCTACCCCCCAAAACCCCACCCTTGCGAAAAACACTCCGAACACAACATACCTGGTTAGGTTTAGCTAGGGTGTAGGACTTCGTGAACACGAAGAACATCTTGTCGCTGGCCTGTTTCTGTTCGGAGCTATCCCATTTTGTGATGGTTCATCGGCTTCTTTTCCATGACGAGCCGATGTAGATCCCAAGACCCGAAGGGCTAAGAACTCTCAGCTGAACTTTATGTAAGTCGTAGAGGAAGTTTGAAGATGTTGGCCCAATGTTTAGACTGCATAAATGCTTGGGTTCTTAATGCAAAGGTCGCCCACAATGGACCTCAATTGCAGCGGCACCCGTTGCTCCACGCCCCTGCAAGCCCCCAAGCCCCCATTATCCCAAAGGGTCCAAGTATCATCATGGGACATACTCAGACCCCCAAAATACCCTATAAGTATATACCAGGATGATACTTGGACCCTTTGGGTATTACGAAACACCTTCTGTGGACTGTTGCCATGGCTCGTCCTTATCTGCTCCTGGCCCTTCTGGCGGCAAGTCTTGCGGCAGCTGCACGGCTGCAAGGATAAGTGTCCTTGTGCCTGGGTTTAGGGTTGCGGGGTCTAGGAGTTTGTTGGGTTTAAGGATGTGTACAGGGTTCAGGCTCTAGGGAGTTAGGGGTCTCAGGGTTTCGGGTTTTGGAGATCCAGCAGGCCAGCAGTTTAGGGTTTAGGGGTGTTTAAGTAATTAGTGCTCCTGCTCGTTGTTCCCATAAATCCAATGTTAGGGACCCTTAAGGACCCCTAGGTATATACCCTTAGTATATCTATTATATACCCAGTATATAGCCCATTATAGGGTAGGGGTCCCCATTGAGGGTCCCTCCTTTTCCCTTTGAATAAAGAAAGCACAAGCGGACAGCTCCTGTACCCTTGCAGTTAGGTTTTCGGCCGTCCTGACAGTATAGGTGGGTTCTTGCGTTCGGGGTGTTTTACTACGAGATCTTGGGTCTACAAGAACTTAAAAAGCACGACGTGAAACCCGAAAAGGTTGCCATAAGCCCTGGAGGGGCTGTTGCAAGCCTTACCCCCAGGGTCCAAGTACCTAATAATCATGTACTCTCCCAAATCCTACCAAATCCTAGGTTATGTAACTACTATCCTAAAGCCGAGTACATAATTATTGGGTCCTTTGGACCCTTGGGGTTATAAGAGCCCATTGCGGAAGACGGAATCCGACCCCTCCCCAAGCAAAGTCCGATTCACCACTTCTGAATATTCACAGTCACAGTATTGCAATTGAAGCAGCAAGCTCACAACCTGAGTAGATCTGGAATTTCTTTCGCATCTCACCCCAAAACCAGCCTCGTTTAAACCAAAATGTTGAAACCTCTATTGATTTGGCACCCCTCATAGCGACGTGGTGTTTTGCATGCGTGTATCCGTAGCAGAAGATGAGTAACTATCGTTTCCTATGTACTTCGCTACTACGGCTTCAAGACGGTCACACTGCAACGCTCCGGCACTCCCTATAAACCCAAGCCCTAAGCCAGCCCCAAAGCAAAAACGTCAAGCCCCGAAACTTGTAAACAAAGCGAAATGCAAAACAAGCAGTCGAAGAGCATTCAATTCCCTTATACCCCAAATCCTACACTCCAAGCCGGCGAAATCCCCTAAACCCGAAACCCTAAACCGCAAGCTCTACACCAATCTACACCCACAAAACTACAAAGAGGCTGCGAAGCCGAACCTTTGGCGTGGCCGGCGGAAGGGTCGAAGAGGGCCCGAAGCCGCAGGTGAGCGAGAGCAGTGTTAAGGGTTTTGATCCAGGGGGTCAGGATTTAAGGATTTACGGTTTGAGGTTCAGGGTTTAGGGTTTAAGACTTACGGGTTTGTGGCGTGTTGTTTAGGGTTGCCCATGTTGGCAAGCATCCATGTATCCAAGGGTAAAAGGAGGGACCCTTAATAAGGACCCCTAGGTATATATCCTTAATATAGCTATTCTATACCCATTATATAGCCCATTATAGGGTAGGGGTCCCCATTAAGGGTCCCTCCTTTTCCCCTTTGAATGTATCTTACTTTCCTTGTTTCTGCATTGCAGGGCTCCCTATCCCCACTTGCGGTACTCGATGCATTCTCCTAGTAACTAGGGTTTAAGGTTGAGGGTTTAGGGTTTAGGTCCTAGTAGTAGAGTAGGTAACCTTTAACCTTTTTGGGGGTAGTATAGTCCCTGTATGACCCCGTATATCCAAGAAGGTTAACCTTTAGTTCCCCATGATACCCGACAAGTAGGTTCTAGTGTCTACAACTGGGCAAAGGCTGATCTAAGGCCTTCCAGGGTTCTATCAGGGAACGATGAGGACACGAAAACATAATCAGACAAGTTTCGCGATTAAGATCCTCCAAAAGACTAATGCCCCCCCCCCTCACCTTGTGAAGGAAACTTCCTTGCTTTATTAGTTTTGGTTTGGGTTTAAGGGTTTGAGGATTGAGCGTTTGGGGGGGGGGGGGGGTGGGCGCTGGAGCGGTGGATTCTGGTGGGGCTTTCAATGGTGGACCCTCTACATGAAGTTTGAGCATTAGGTAGTGATGGAAGGTGTCTTAATACAACCCTACTGCAACCTATTGGTTCAGTCCTTCTGCTGATGGCATAAATCCTGCAGTACCTGAAGGACCCTAAACTATGGCAATAATGACCAGTTCCTTATGGGGTAATGCAGTATTTATATCCCTAAACTAAACCCTAAAACCCTACAGATCCCTTAAAGGAATCCCCCCTTGTATATATATATATATATATATATGTATGTATGTATATATATATATATAGATCCCTTTAAAGGATCTGTATCATCAACCGCTTTAAGCCGCAAAGCTGCAACCTCGCGGCAGGTTTTCCGAGCAGCTTCCTCTCCGAGGCATCAGCGCAGCCCTCCGTCAGCAAGGCTTCCCAGGATCCCTCCACTAGGACCCAGGGTAGGCCCTTATTCAAAAACGGCACCTTTTTTGGTCTTAGGTTACTCTTGGGTCTACTCTTGGGTCTAGTCTAGCCCAAGATACCCGTTCAGGGTTTGCAGGATATTTACAGATCATGAGAGGTTTGTCAAGGGTGTTGGGCCATATGACTGTGGTTGTTCGTGCGTTTGATTTTCGGGATTACGGACTTCAAGGTGCACTGCACCGCGTTTCATCGGTTTAGGGTTTTAATCTTGCTGTTCTTCTGGTTGGCTCTTATACTTGAACTTTTTGGGTTTCTATATGAACTATGGTAAGGAGGCTAAAAGTTTAACTTTTAGGAGGGGTCCAGAAGTCAGCCAAGATATTTAGCTTCGGGTTTTGATCTATAGTAGAAGCCAGAAAGTTGGAACATGGCTTTAGGAGGATAAGTGCTAGGATCCCTTATACCTTACCTTAAGGGCATGTGGTTAATGATGTTCCAACTTTCTGGCTTCTACCCCAAATAGAGCCTAAACCCCAAACTCTATAGATCCCTTTAAGGAACCCCTTAGAGATCCCTTTATGGATCCCTTTAAGGAGCCTGTAATTAACAAGTAGCTTCTACTATACCTAAGGCTCCATGTACCCTTTTAGTAGATACTTAGGCCTTAAGTAGCTATATAGGGACCCCTTTAAGGCCTAAGTATCTACTATACAGATACATGGAGCCTTTGGGTATAATATAGGGGTCCAAATAATTACCAATATTATGGTGGGGGTTCCTTATTATGATTATAGTATAATGGGCCCCAAAACCCTATTCTAATTATTCAGGCCCCTACATTACCATTGGTCATGGCTTGAATCCCGACTCTGCGTGTGCTTCAGCCTGAAGCTCTTCATCCTCCTCTCGACAATGCACCCCCCCAACCTTGTCATTTGTTTTCAATGTGTATATGTGTATATACATATATATATATATATATATATGGGTATACACCATACACCTATACATATATATATATATATATATATATATATATATAATTATATATATATATCATATATATATATATATGTATAGGTGTATGGTGTATACCCATATACTCACATGTGTTGACGTCTTCTTTGTGTGTTGTGTGCGTTTGTTCGTTTACTCATACACATACATACTATTTGTGTATGTGGTTCTGAGTTTGCTGTGATTTTTTGCATACCACTGTTTGTATGTATACATGTATGCATTTATGCATGATTAGTGCTCGCCTGTATGCTTGTATGCAAGTAGGTATATATGCATGCATGTATATTGTGCACCCACCTCTGTATACCCGAACCTCCCCAATCCTTCTTAAATAAACTTCGAAAGCGTGTATATTAAGCCTGGCCTGAACCCTCAACACCACTCAAACCGCTGCGAAGTATAAATATGCAAGCTGTATGGAGCTGTTGTAGAGCCCCTAAATGGAAGCCTGAAGGGATAGTTTTCGTCTTGACTCCCTAAGCCCGACAACGGAAATCCACTCTAGAACCATTATTGACCCAGAGGGTCCAAGGACTCCCTATTATAGGACTTGAGGGCCTTATTAGGTACCAAAAAACCGTAAATAGGGACTACTTGGACCCTTAGGGTGAACCTTGAAAAGAACCCCATGACGCAGCCTTGATAGTAACACTGCACCCAGGTCGGATGGAGGGGATCAGGCGCCTCCTTTCCTGCGCACCGAAATCTTGCCTCGCCATCCGGGCACCGGAAACCCTTTTAGGGTTTGGGAGGGACCCTTAATGGGGACCCCTACCCTATAATGGGCTATATAATGGGTATATAATGGGGGCGGTTGGGGGCTTGGGAGTTGAGGGATTGAGGGCTTCGTGGTTGACCTTCTAGGGTTGACGGCTTCGGGGATTCAGCGTTTTGGGTATGGGTTGATGGCATCCGTCCATCAAAACCCGTCTTTTCAAGCTACCTACTTATGACACTCTTACAGATGTTCTGCAACTGTTTGTTTACGGTTATTGAGGGGGCACTAAGCGCCAGAGCTTGGTTTTGTCCGCCCAAGCCCAGCCTGTTTTGAGGGTCAGCTGGTTCCAGCTGCATTATGGCCCGCAAGCACTTAAAGCTCATCCTCTTCAAAGACAAAACCCCAATACCAAAATGTAATTCTGATAACCTACCCAACGGCTCCATGCATGTACCTTAACTTATATAGACACTTAAAGCCTTAAAGGGTCCCTATATAGGTGCTTTCAGGCTTAAGTACATACTAGTTGCGTACATGGAACCTCAGGGCCAAGCCTGTCAGCCCTGCCAGTGTCGCGGACCGGGCCATTCTGATCTCCATCTCCTGGCTGCGGCCACTGCCTGCTGCTATGGCAGGACCGTGGTTTGTGCGCGAGTATAGGGTTCAGTGTGTAGTTTAGGTTTCAGGCTTTAGGGTTTTGACTTTTCTGATTTGAGTTGGGTTTGTTTCAGAATTTAGGAAACAGGCTTTTGTTGAGTTTTGGGTGTATGATTTGTTGGCCTGAGTGCTGTACGGTCGGTGACTTCAGGTTAAGCCTTAAAGACTGTCCTTAGAAGCCGTACATCCCGAAACGAAAACTCCAGTGCCGGGAAGCCCTAAACCAGCTAGTCTTGAACCGCAACCCCAACACCCGAACAGGATTGTCCACAACACCTCGTGCTGTATGGACGAGAACATTGCCACCGGGGTTTCGCGGAAGCTCCCTGGCTTACCTTGCTGAAGTTTTGGGCTATTATAGTAGCCCACGGTCTAGGGTTGAGGGGTTTAGGGTTTACGGTACTAAGATAAGAATATAGGTATAGTCCGTATAGTGCCTTTATACACAAAGCCGAAAGCTGCAAGGGCTCCCAACTTGACTTAAAGCGAAGGCCCTGAACGCTGAGCACCCAAGACCGCGCAGGCGAGTATTGGAAAGTTGTTGGTCTCATTTAGGGTCTAGGGTTTAGGGCCTGTCAAGGAAAAAGGGCTGTCTATCTGAATTAGGATTGACAGTTATGGTTTGGGGCTACGGAAGCTTATCTGCTAGGGTTTGCAGTATGGTGTAGAAGTGCAAAAAATCTGTGGTAGTATGATGGATCCGTGCTCAAGTCGTTTAGACTCTCCGGGACAATGGATATGACCAGCGTGGCCGCATGGTTAGTGATTTGCATTAGTAATAGCAGTGTAAACCCTATGGTAGCTATGAAGGTTTCCATGTCAGTCTTCGAATGCCGTCGTCTGAGCCAAGGGAAGTCCAGCGACCGGGTATGTCCTGGGATTGCAATGACGAGAACTGCTACGACACGCTGGTCGGGAAGCGAGGTGGCTATGTCTCAAAGCTCAGGGTGAACCCTACCCTCCGAACTCCTTAAGCCTCTGACCTTAAACATGGAGGGTCCGGGAATGTGAGTAGTATATTATCCCACCATAGCCCTGTTTGAGATTTCTATGATCCATGCCCTCGCCTAGACCGCGGCATGCAGCGCTCCTTGTTCTGGTCATCATGCAACAGTCCTAGCCCCGAGGGTCCCTATCTACACATATATATATATACACACATATATTACCATTATGGAATCAGGCCCCAAAAGTCCATCACCAATATGGGTTTTGGTATCTTCTTCCACAATAGTCGTGTTTGTGGGCCCCCTTGGTAAGATGAATCATAAACCGGATCATGAGGCTCGGGGCCTAGACAGCCCTCAAGCTCTTGATTTTTATTTTTGAGCCCTAACACCCGAGCCTCAACCTTCAACCCTCAACCCCTAAAGTCCCAAACCCCAAACCTCAACCTTTAACATCAAAACGTGTAGAAATGCTAGAGCGAACCCGAATCAACTGGGTATTTTCGGCAGCCAAAAGCTCCGAAATGCTCCGTAACTGCACCCAGAGCCTCTAAAACCCCGTAATTAAGGAATCTACCATAAATCGTATTCGGGTATCCTATGATGATTGAAGGTCTATTCCTTAATTCAGGGGTTTTGGGAGTCTCTGGGAAGGAATGGCACATCATTGAAACCTCAGCTCGAGCCCCAAGGCCCCCCGAATACCCCCAGCTGCTTCCGTGAGAGGAAGTCACGTTAAAGGAGCCCTAAGCAAGTAGGTTCCCAAAGGGTCGCCCACAATGGACCTCAATTGCAGCGGCACCCGTTGCTCCACGCCCCTGCAAGCCCCCAAGCCCCCATTATCCCAAAGGGTCCAAGTATCATCATGGGACATACTCAGACCCCCAAAATACCCTGTAAGTATATACCAGGATGATACTTGCACCCTTTGGGGCTTCTTAGGGTCCAGGTAGGTCCGACCCTTAGGTGCCGATGTGCTTTGGTTTCCCGATGGAGCCGACTGCTCCACACCGAGGAGCCACGGTTTGGGGCTTAGGGGTTTAGGGAGGGGTTTAGGGGGTTTCGGGGTTTAGGGGTTTAGGGTTTAGGGGTTTAGGGGTTTCGGGTTTAGGGTTTTCGGGTTTAGTGGTTTAGGGTTTAGGGGTTATGGCCTGGGGTGTTCAGGGTGCGGGGTTTTTGGGGTATAGGTTCCGCAAGGTTTTGGGTATAGCGAGGGTATGGGGTCTACAGTTACATGCTACAAGGCTTATAGAGTTTCGGTATACGGGTATACCTATAGGCTGATACCCTACCCCTTTTTAAGTACCTAATCCTTCAGATAGGATCGGCTATATAGAGAAGTAGGTAACTTCAAAACGGGGGTAGGGTATGAGACTCCAGGCAGGGTTTATACGATGTACTCCCCTTGAGGCTCTGGGATGGGTTTAGGGTTTATAGGGTTTAGGGTTCTGTGGTTTTGTTTGTGGGTTGGTGTCGGGAGCACGGTATGTTGGCTACTTTAGTGTGGTCATAGGAAGGAACCCTGAGAAATGCTTCTCCAGTAGAAGCATTTCTCAGGATTATTTAGCTACTATGTTCTACATACTGTTTGTTTTGCGTGGCACCTGTCCCCGTTTACTCATTACTTTTGGGGGCTGCAGGCAAGAGCCTACCGGGAGACAAGATTTGGGTTTCGCATCCACGCGCCTTGCATGAGGTCTTTTATTTGTAGCTTCCGCAAGCTGAGCTTCCAGGATATACTCATACCCGAAGTACCCGAAACCCTATACCCCGAGCCCTAAAGCCTTACAGACCCTCTGGTCCTCAGTATGTTCGTGGGTGGACTTAAAGAACGTGGAATACGAGCTTAAAGGTATTGGTTAGAAGCTGCCCCCACCCTGTAATAGTGACCATAAGGATTATATCGGATTGTATTAGGGCCCTATTATACCACTATTACAGGGTGGGGGCAGCTCCTAAGGTATTGGGCCATGATTCTATCTACTTTGGGGTGTTTAGATAGGGGTTAGGTTGTAGGAAACCCGGGTTTGGGGTTCGAAGCTTAGGGTTTCCTGGCTCAGGGTTTAGGGATTAGCCCCCAGGGTCCGAACTATATTATACGTAGTAGAATGTAGCGTTTCCATATTCGGAATTTTATTAATATGATTCATGAAAGATCCCCCATACTTGTGCCTGGGACACTTTGGGGCAGGGTGATTCAGGGTTTAGGGTCTGTTGGCGTTTGTTAGGTTGCCTCTAGATTTTCTGGCTACCTACCCTGGTTGTTGGCGAAGACGACACACTGCACTCCCAACGAAACTCTGGACACGAATCCCCGGGACTCGAGACTCTAACCTCTGGTTCCTATATGTACTTCCTACGGCCTAAACTCTGAGCTGCAGTCACGCTGCGTACCTACATAGCATATGCTTGGACCGACATGGGGTCCTATATACTTGCATATGCGTCTCTTCTCCGTCCCCGACCCCTAAATTTGAATCCTAAACCCTGCACCATCCTAAACATTAAACCGCTAAAGCTACGGTTTAGGGTTTTGGGTTTCAGGTTTAGGGTTTGGGTTTTAGTATTTAGGGTTTCGGGTTCAGGGTCTCACCGAAACACACCTCTGGAGGATCCTATACACCCATGGCGGCAGCTGGATGTTTGGGTCTCCGGACACCGAAGCCCTGAGAGCAAGGAGATAAACCCTCCTACCCCGACCCTAAGGCCCCAGAGTAGTTCCTTTTGGGGGCTCATGTTCAGAATCCTATAAGGTAATCCCAAAAAGGAACTACTTTGGGGCCTATGGGTAAACCCTAAACCCCAAACCTGCTTCATTTTGAACTTTTCTCTTTTGAGCGGGGGTTTGGTGTCCAGGGGCTGGGCTTTGAGCCTCCGCGGTTTGGGCGTCTGGTGCTTCGGGCTTTTTTGTTGATGTATGTTAGTACTGGGTTTGGGGATCTACGTAGTAGGTTTCAGGGTTTTAGGGTGTAGGGCCGTTCAGGGTTTAGGTTTCTGACGTTTTTGGGGTGCAGAGCTTCGGGATCCTTGGGTTTCGGGTGTCTTTCACTTCAGTTCCAAATCTCTCTGCCAGACGAATGTCTTGGTCTTCTGTTTTGCTGGAGCCCTAAAGATGCTTATTAGCCGAAACCTCGGAACCCGTGAACTGGAAGCTTCAAACTTAAAGTAGCCCCAAACCCTAAACCCTGATAGAACCGCTTATGAGACCCTTTACAGCACGCTTAAAGCAACCCTCAAAGCCGTTGTTAAGGACTCGTATGCTCAACTGGCTTCGAAGCTGTCGAAGGCTTGGCGGGGAGCATCTGGGAGAGCTACCAGGGGCTTTGGGCTTAGGGTGAACGGTTTAGTAGGGTTTAGGACTCAGGGTTCAGGCTTTTCGGGGTCTGGTTTTCTGGCTTGGGACTCTAGAGTTGATAGTTTTTGCGGTTTAGGGTTTTTCAGGTAGGGTCTGGGTCTCGGCTTCCAGATTTTGGTTCCGGCCTCAGTACATAGGGCTTTGGGGGTTAGTGTTTGGTGAAGGGCTTCGGAATTGGGGTTTAGGGGTACTTGGAGGATCGGGGGACTTAGCAGCTGGATATTTTAGCGACTTATAAGTACCATAACCCCAAGTAGGGTCCCTTTTAGGGTACTTATAAGTCTGCTTACTACCTAAATACAAAGTCCCCCGACCATCCAAGTAGGGGTTAGTCAGTAAGTAGAATGATCAGGGCTTGGGACGGATTGCTGTATTACTCTAGATGGGCTATGAAGAGGATAGTTTAGAAGCTGCCCCCACCCTGTCATAGTGGTATACTAGGACTATAATAGGGCCCTAATATAATCCTTATAGTCACTATTACAGGGTGGGGGCAGCTTCTAAAGGATAGTGCGAAGAACTATTCAAAGATGTAGATTAATTGGCGGCTGGTGCCTAGCTGCGTCCGACACCTTACAACTGCTTAACAGGGTTTCGCCTCAGTACCTCCGAACTTCTAACTTTGGTAAGTGGTCAAAATGCTGCTTTTTCAACCATCAGGGTATCAGAACCTTCCGCCATCAACCCGGAGCCGAGGTACGAATGCAGGGGCCTCAAAGGGTGTTGGGGGGTTATCATAGTTATAGTATAATATGCCCCAAAATCCTAAACCCCAAAACCCTAAACTCCAAAAGTCCAAAACCCTAAATTCACAATTTTAAACCCCAAACCCCTAAACCCAAAACCCTAAACCCCAAAACCCTAAACCAAAACCCCAAAACCCTAAACCCTAAACCCTAACACTAAGGCCCCTACATTTCGTACTACAACCGAAGCCCTCTGAAAAACCTACGCTCTGAACCAGTGATCTCCTAGGGGTCCATGTTTCGTAGAGGATCGATACACTTTGGCCCAAAAGTAGTGCCTATAAAGGGATCCATAGGAATTCCTTAAAGGGCTCCTTTAAGGGATCCACAGGGTTTCCCTTATAGGTACTTTGGGCTGTAGAGCCAAAGCATTTATACCATCTTGGTACATGCTCTCTTTTGGGCACTTGTATTGCGATTTGAATCCTGTCCGCTTTTCTTGTACAGGAAACTGATAAAGTCTTCCCCGGCCCATAATGTACTCCATAAGCTGTAAGCCAGAATCCTTTGACCCTAGATCCGTAACCCAAAGGGTGCAAATGCCCAATACTACTAGGCCTTTGGGTCCCGGATACTATCCTCAGAATGGTTTTGGTACCTGAGCCCTACCCTGCAAGGTCACCCAAAACCCTAAACCGCCCCCTAAACCCTAAACGCTAAACCCTAAAACCCTAAACCCTAAACCCTAAACCCTAAAACCCTAAACCCTAAACCCTAAACCCTAAAACCCTAAAACCCTAAACCCTAAACCCTAAACCCTAAAACCCTAAAACCCTAAACCCTAAACCCTAAAACCCTAAACCCTAAAACCCTGAACCCTAAACCCTAAAACCCTAAAACCCTAAACCCTAAAACCCTAAAACCCTAAACCCTAAAACCCTGAACCCTAAACCCTAAAACCCTAAAACCCTAAAACCCTAAAACCCTAAAACCCTAAACCCTAAAACCTAAAACCCTAAAACCCTAAACCCTAATCCCAAAGCCCTGAAGCGATTGCGCCAGGCCACAGGCGCTGTGGTGATGTTGACAGACTACCCTTTGGTTCCTGCTGGCATCTCCGGCCGATACATAACCCTATCCCTCCAGGGACCTTATTATGGGGTCCTTAAGGGGTCTAGGGCCCTAACTATTAGGTCCTTGGAGGGATAGGGTAAGTCCTGGTAATTATGCTCACAAATGCTCAGGCTAGCAATGGCAATACTAGCGCCAATCATCGTAATGTTTATGGACTAGGAATATGAAAAAATGATAAGAAGAAGGATAGCAAGAAAGACAAGAGCCCCGTGTGCGAGTAAGGTTTATATAGAGTTTTGGTGAGTGTATGTGAGGCTCCCTAAGAACATGGATGAGTTTAGATTTTGGGGCTTTGTTACCACGATACTCGTAGGCGCATAGAGTTGCTGAGCAGATACTGTAGCCTTTAACCTTATGTGTTTTTAGACCTACCATCATTGCACAGGTTAGCCTTGTTGGGCATCGGACAGCCATCCCCTACTACCATTATGGAACTATCCTCAGCAAGAGGTAGATGCCTTGCACCCTGGCCACTAAACCCTAAACCCTGAGACCCACAACAGCTCGACAAGGCCGCCTAAACCCTAAACCCTAAACCTTGAGACCCACAGTAGCTCGACAAGGCCTAAACCCTAAACCCGAAACCTTGAGACCCACAGTAGCTCGACAAGGCCTAAATCCTAAGACCCACAGTAGCTCGACAAGGCCTAAACCCTAAACCCTAAGACCCACAGTACCTCGACAAGGCCTAAACCCTAAACCCTAAACCCTGAGACCCACAATAGCTCGACAAGGCCTAAACCCTAAACCCGAAACCTTGAGACCCACAGTAGCTCGACAAGGCCTAAACCCTAAACCCTAAACCTTGAGACCCACAGTAGCTCGACAAGGCCTAAATCCTAAGACCCACAGTAGCTCGACAAGGCCTAAACCCTAAACCCTAAGACCCACAGTAGCTCGACAAGGCCTAAACCCTAAACCCTAAACCCTGAGACCCACAATAGCTCGACAAGGCCTAAACCCTAAACCCGAAACCTTGAGACCCACAGTAGCTCGACAAGGCCTAAACCCTAAACCCTAAGACCCACAGTAGCTCGACAAGGCCTAAACCCTAAACCCTAAACCCTGAGACCCACAATAGCTCGACAAGGCCTAAACCCTAAACCCTAAACCCTGAGACCCACAATAGCTCGACAAGGCCTAAACCCTAAACCCTAAACCTTGACACCGACAGTAGCTCGACAAGGCCTAAACCCTAAACCCTAAGACCCACAGTAGCTCGACAAGGTAACTACACCAGCATCTTGCAGTGGTCGATCGCTGCATTGCGGCTTGCCTCAATGGGCTGAAGCCCGAAGCCTCCATGTACCCACCTTAAGGACGAAATGAACCCTAAAAGGGTTTAAGGTTCATATACCATATAGGGATTCATAGTATATGGGTATAGGGCCTCTACTTTTAAGGGTCATTTCGTCCTTCAGGCATAGAGTATATACTTTGAAGCAGTACCACAGGAACCCCATTAAAGTTCCTTACGCTCATGTATTTACATATTTGGGTAGTTGTCAAAATTATGGTCCCTTTTTTGGGGTACCCTAAATATTAGGTGCCGTATTAGAATGAGGACCCAAAAAGGTACCACAGGAACCCCATTAAAGTCTCAGCATATACTATGTGGGTACATGGAGCCTTAGGGAAGGATGTAAGCTTCTAGTTTCAAAACTTTGGACTAGGGTTTTCCTGCAGAGAGCTGTGGAAGAAGGGTTTTCCGCTAGAGCACTGGTAGTATCCTATTCTAGAAGCCCAGTTCTCTCTTTACTACGTAAACTCTGTAGTATAAACTACGTGGGTAAGGGCGCGTCTCGCAGGACGGTAGGGAGAAAAAGTCAGTCAGCACATAGACGAAGCTGGAGCCTCTACGTGCTCTATACCTACCCAGAGGCTCCTAAACCCCTTAATTGAGGAGTATACCTTGAGTCTTATTGGGGGCCCCATTATGATTTAAGGTATATTCCTTAACTCAGTGGTTTTGGAGTCCCGAGGTAGAAGGTCATGCTCTACCCCTTTTTAGGGTGCCTAGTTTTTTGGTAGGACTTGTCATACACAAAAGTAGGTACCCAAAAAACAAAGAAAATGTAGTGTCTTACCTTTGTTGGTGGGGCCTGACTAGTTGGATGAGGGTTTTAGGACATGTGACAGCACACCAGCTTGGGGGCGGTAGAAGCCACGGTTCAGGGTTTAGGGTTTAGTGCTTTGAGGGTTTAGGGTTTAGGTAAAAGTATCAGTTGATAATTGTTTATCACCAGCATAAACGGTGGCAAAAACAAAAGCTAGAGAACGTCCAGCAGTGATGGTAAGAGTAATCCTAACATTACTCAAAGCCCTACACCCCTAAACCAGTCAAAGTCCTAATCTTCTAATCTCCGAAATCCTCAGCCCGAACAAACTCACAATTGATCCCTAGGCCCCACACACCAGGCCAGAAAAGAACAGTAAACTAACAAACAGACCCTAGCCTAGACACGTGGAGCACTGAGCCAGGCAGTGGCTGGAAGTCAACGGACCTGTCGAAGGTCCAGCTTGGGGTAAGAGTTAGGCACTCGCTAGCGGTCCAAGTGTCCAAAACAAGTTCTCCGAATTAGAATAGGGTCCTTCTTACAGGGGTCATGCCATTATTTGTGGGGACACGAATTTGAAGAACTGTCCAAATAGCGGGGTTGAAGGTACCAAGAGCTATTCAGAGCATAGTATTTGGGATGTTCTACCCGATTCATTTGGGTAGTTGAGCCAATTGGGCTGGGGCCAGGAGGGAGTGGTAATGTTCTACAGGGTGGGGCGGGGGGTTGCAGGGCTTCTATGGGTTCCATTGGGGCTCTGCCAGCAGAGGTCAGGGTTTTGGGCCCAGACTTTTGAGGGATTTGGGTGAGTGCCCAAAGCTTTTTAACTACGGAATGTCGCTCAAATCAACCAACCATTTTGTTTAGTCGGGCTTCTATTATGCGCACAGGCCTGTGACATTAGTGCAGTTAGGAGCAAGCCCCTATACTACCCTAAACGGCTAAACCCTAAACTCCTAAACCCCAGGCCCATACTATACACGGATCCTCAGGGTGATTGTGACAGAGGCGGAAAAGTCTTGGGTCTGAGTTACCTTTGGGTGTCTACAGTTAAGGGGTTTAGGGGCTTACGGGTGGCCAAGAAATCCAAGGGTGAGATGCCCTCTACTAAGTTCCAACCTCGTTGCACTCGCCAAGCATGTTCGATTGAACTTTGAGGGCTCGAAAAAGACTTTGGAGGTGAAGCTCTGGGGCCGCATTGAGAATGCCATCTGCGCAGCCGAGAGTTGTGAAGACTCAGCAGCAGGCCTTATGGGAGAACTGCTGGCAGCCCGTGGACAGCCAACAAGACTGCGCAAGGATGTCTTCGAACGTGTCTCCTGCGTCTGTCCAAACAAGAAGAGTCTTGACGACCAGGCCAAGCTGCTAGCCGAACATTTGGTGAATGGCAAGTGCACCAAGCTTGAGAGTTACGTCGTCCGGCACGTGTGGCAAAGTTCGATGCCGGACGGTTTGGCTGTCCTCGAATGCACCAAGGATGGGTCGGAAGTGTCACTTGTTAATGAAGGCCAAGGCTTCGAAAGGCTGCAGGGGTTCAGGATTTAGAAATACTCGTGGGCTTCTGGGTCTAGAAACAGTACCCGGATCTGATTAATTCAGATGCAGGTCAATATAGCGCTCTATAGCTCTTCTTGAGGTATCGATGCCTCGAACACCCCAACCCTAAACTAGCTGTAAACCGTCTAAACCTCTAGGCGATCTATTCACGCCTCACTTGGACTACGGCCGCCAAAGGGTCTTAGGCTCTGTTTTGGGGGATAATTACGTCACCAGATCATATAAAGAACTCCCAATATAGAAACCTTTCATTCTACTATCTAATGAGGTACTTTTAATCGAAAACCTTACAGAAACCCTTTTCACGGAGCCTCTAAAGAGCGCTACATTCTACCATATTCGTAATAGGTTCCCTAAAACCTTAAACTGAACCTCACAGAAGCCGAAAACCTTAAAGGGACTCTTTTCGCAACCCTCGGTACTTTGGACCCTTTGGGACTAGATCTGTCGAGGCTGTGGGAAAGAGCGGCCGCCACTGTTTGTCGGAGGTGACTCCTCAGGTGGGGGTGGCGAGGCATCCATTTAGCATTTATTTTGGGGTTTAGTGTTTAGGGAGGTTTAGGGTTAAGGGTTTCCGTACGCTAGGGCTATAAGGACTCAGATTTCAAGGTTTTGGGGCGGAAAGACCACATCATATAAGGCTTTTGGGCCCTTTGAGCCTTAGGGTCAGGGTTTAGACATTCGTTTGCTTTGTTTTGTTTCTGGTTGGTGGCTCCCGTGTTAACCCGAACAATAGGAACAACACTTACTGAGCCCCAAATCGGAACCTAGGTACCACCATGTCCCTCGTGCTGACGCTCAAACAGACGCGGCTTGTAACCAACAGATTTGGGCGTATGGGTTTAGTTTAGCGAGGTGGGAAGCAGTGTCTCGAAATCACACATCGTTGGCTTGAAGTTATTCACTGCTGTGAGGAAATACGATTCGATATTGTGAGTCGCCTTTTCTATGGCCTCTAGTTGCATTATCGTTGCATAAGCTACCCTGACCTCAGTTCTCCAGGTGTCGTTAGGCTCGGTTTCCAACCATCGAACTGTGTACACACTTGTGGCTTTTCGGTGCTCATTGCAGAAAGGTGCTGCAAGAATCGGCAGGTTTTTCAGATCTGGCAAACAGTAGGTTTTGAGTAGGTTTATGCCACGGATGCCCATTGTGAGCACTTGGATATATCTGTAACCCTTGTTGCAATGTCCCAGCCTCCACGTGTCAAATCTGACTCAAGGTAGTTGAGAGCTTCCTTCGGCATGGCATACGATGGTCGTCTGCATTCGTCCATTCCCACGTCTTCAACCATGTAACCGTAGCAATGACACCAACAAAAATACTGACGACTGTAGTGATGGTGGCCGTGGCAATAACACTGGTAACTGTAGCGACTAAGAGCTAGAGATTCATGCTTCTGCTTTGCTGCCACTCTGCCTGCGGATGCTGCTGCCGTTCCACTGAAACTAGTACTGCCACTGCTGTTGCTGCTGCTGCTGCTGGCTGCTAACCACTAGCTACTAAATAGTTACGGCGATGACTACGACGACCCCTAAGGGTCCAAAGTACCTATATGGTAGAATGTAGGGTTCCTATGTTAGGAATTAGTATTTTGATTTCGGGAAGTATCCCCCATAACAGTACCTAGGACCCTTTGGGGACTACTACTACGACTACCACCACTTTGCAAGGCCACATCTTCTGAAGCGCCCTTTGGACGGTGCCTTCTTCTACAGTCCCTGGACCCTGCTGCGCGGGAGGGTGCAGAGAGCCAACTGCGTTGGTGGTGTACCTTAACCCTAAGGGTCCAACGGTTGATGATATATATATATATATATCCTGCATTGCCCATAGCAAGGAATTTACCATAATTCCCATAGTTTTGGGTCCTTAAGGTAATGCAGGATGTATAGCATCAACAGAAGTACCTAGTTATCATATACTCTTCAAAATCGCATAACCTACATAACCACTATCCTAGACCCGAGTACCTGATTACTGGGTCCTTAGGCTAGGGCTCAAACATCATTGTGATAGAATCGGCTTAGCAAGAGTAGGTAACCTCTAATGCTTGTGTGGTAATAGAAGCCCTATACCTAAGGCCCAAAGGTAGGTAGCAAAATAGTGGCCCAACAACACCTGTAGAAGGTCATTCTACGTCCTGTTGGTGTCCAGGTATAGCCTTCAAGGATAAACTTTAGGTACGGCCCCAACTCAGTAATAGTTGAATAATAATATTCATAATATAGATATAGTAGGACCTTAATAGCCCTATTTTAGACTCTTACTGTAAGGGGGCCCTACCTAAGATAAGCTTTAGTTCCCCTAGGATATTGGACCAGTCGGAAGGGCACTTGGGTGCGTTCTTATTGCTGAGGCATTTCCTGTTTTGGGTCATGGCTCAATCGCAGGGATCCCTCAAAAGTAGATATGCCGCTTGCCTTCTGAGGAGTGTACTTGGAGGATCATGGGACTTAGTATTAGTAAGTAAGGTTATAAGTACCCTAGTTCGAAATTTTACGTATAGTTACCTTATTTATAACCCTAGTTACGAAGTCCCATGATCCTCCAAGTAACAACCTCCAATAGGGCTACTATCTGGAATGAAGGTCTCTAGATATTCATACTTTAAACGTTATGTAACTAGTAGTGAGTGGGGAAATATCCAACATCCTACACTGCTCAATGTCCGGGCCCTATAGCCTTGCAGGACCAATCTGATGTGCAACACTCCGGCGCCTGGGAAAGAAGTTTCGTCATACCTAGACCTACAGTTCAGTATGATGTTGAATAGCGCTGTTTATGGTTGGGATCTTGTAATATCAAAGACTACAGACACTGCAGCAGGTGTTAGAATCTAGGCGTGGGGTTAGGGGTTTACTGTACCGTGTGCGGGCTGAGGGCGCAGGGTGCCGGAGTCAAGGACTCGGGGTTATAACCCTACTCATAGCCTACTTACTAAGTCCCCTGCCCTTCCAAGCATTGCCTTTGTGTCTTATGTACGCTAAGATTGCTTACGGCACCTCGCTTTCTTTTTGAAGGCCCTAACCTTCGGTTCCCGATTATAATCCAAAACCCCAAACCATAAAAACCCTCAACCCCAGAAGCCTTAAACCCTAAAGTCTAATCCATTAGAGGGATCTTTAGGCTGAGGGTTGGTCTCTGCTCGAGGAGTACGCTTGCTCGTGCCTTCGGCACTTTTGGTTGTTTGTTTCCCCAAGGGTCCATGTCTCCAAGTACACCATAGACCTGCATGTCATATACTTTGGCACCGAACCTATGTAAATGAGTAGACACTACTTCGGGTTTAGGGAGTGAGGTTCGGGGTATAGGTTCTAAGCAAACCCTATACCCTTAACCCTAAACGCTTTCTAAGCAATAGAATCCTTCTGACAGGAAGGTTGCAGGCGACCAACCCAGAGCACCGAACCCCATGTAAGCCCCAACCCTGACTCCCAATCTCTGAACCCGGAACCTCTAACCCCTGAGCCCTGAAGCCCGAACAACTGTTATAGGAACCTCTTAGAAAGGGTTTAGGGTTTAGGGTTTAGGTCTAGTTTAAAGAGACATGAGCCTCGTAATCCTAAACCGTGAAGACTTAAAGAGTCAGGAATACTACACCAATGCTTTCTCCCGCATCGAGAACTCTGGGCGGTTCAAGGCCACACCCTCCTTGGGGTTTGGGGCTTAGGGGCTGTAGAGTTTCGGGTTTAGGGGTTTTTAACAGGATGTATGAGGGGTTACACATTCTTCACCGGGTTCCATGTTTTATGTAGTGGGTTTCACGCAGGTTTTGTTGTAGGGTTTCGTGTTTGCGGTTCAGGGTACGGAAGTAGCTGCTTTCCGATTTGTGGCCGAGGTTGATCTTCAAAGTCTTCGCCTCATCCAGTCAGTACAGGTGAGAAACCGTACCGAAAGGGGTGCCGATGCTTGGAATACAGCTCGCGGGTATATTGCAATTGTAACATGATGATTGCATGGGTGCTATAGCGGGATGCGGCCACTACTTGCCCAGGCCCCTATACATTGTATGAAGGTTAACCGTTAAACGTAGACCTCAAAGCTTATTCTGACTAAAGGGTCTTCCTCAAGGAGTATCGTGCTGTTTCGGGTAGAAGATACGAATTTCGATGGAGCCTCTGGGCATCTAAGGTATTCCGTATTTGCTTTAGGAGGCTCGTGCTCTTTGGGAACTTGAACAGGACCACACGCAGCTGCAGATGTACACTGGAGACATTCTTTTCCAACAGATCACGCCCGAGAATGCCGATGCCTTCGAGGGGAATGCTGTGGAGTACTTGGGTGGTGCCCTGCCTTCATAATTAGGGTTACCATAGGGTAAAAGGTTTATGGTTTAGGCTTATAGGCAGACTTTCAACGAAGCCATGAACCAAAAACAAAAAAAACTAAACCTACAAACTATAACCTACACCCAAACACCCTAAACCCAAAAGCCGTAAAGCCCTACAATCCGAAACTCGAAGCCCCCGCAACGAAGCCTGGTTCAACAACTTTCGAAAGCAAAGAAGGGTGTTAACCCTGCGTAGGTCGTCAGGCCCAAAATTTCTCAGGACCATCACCGAAACCGGCAGTGATGCCATTACCGACACCAATGCCATTGCACTGTGCTGATCCTTCTCGCCGGGCTGCAGCCACCAATCGTAGTTTAACCATAGTTATTATCTTCGTTGCTATTATCACTACTGTAGTTTTCATCTTCATCACCACTAGACGGTAACCACCATCAAGAACGTCATCACCATTATCGCAGTCGTCATTCCCATCTTCATCGCCGGCATGATATGCATCATGATATCCGTGTCATCTGCTGCTGTCACATGTCAAAGGGAGCACTGAAATAGCAGACATTCGGGCGACTAGGCCCGACACCACACCGCCCACGAGAGTGGTTCTCTATGGGCAGCTATCGTAACTTCGTCAGGTCGGCCTCCTTTGAGGCTTAAGTATACACTATATCGGCGCATGAGTTCAGGGCTCCGGGGTTTCGGGGGACGAGACTCTTATGTTTTGTGACCATAACTCCAAGGTGACTGTGACTTCAACGATAAGCCGACTTTTGCATTTGACGATGCGGCATTGTCAGAAACACGTGGGCTGGTTAGCTAGCCTTTACCTTCTCTGGTTCTTGCTACCATAAAACAGCCACCGAACCGTAACACCTGAACACCAATCCCTAGAACCTAAACCCTAAGCCCTAAACCCCAAACCCTAAGCCCTAAAACCCCGAAACCCCAAAGTGGTTTAACTTGCTGTTGGAGCCCAGGATGCCCAGTAGTACCCTTATTCCCTTTTTGTAGTCCTAGGTTCCTTAGCTTATAAAGTTACCCAATACCAAACAGAGAGGCCTTTTTATTCTTAGGTTACTGGGTATCCTAGTGGAGCCCAGGATTGGACGAGCTCCAGACGGATCCAATTGCTTCGTCCTTCTTTGCCGAGCCGCAGGACTTCACAGGCAAAGCGGCTTCATAGCTTTAAAGGTCCATGTGCCCAAATAGGGTTCCTATAATCAAGGGTTCCTCTAAGGGTGTAGGGCTTTAAGGGTCCATGTACCCAAATAGCATATACTTTGGGCCGAACGTACCTTTGTAAGGGACTACTTTAAGGCCAACGTATATACTATTTGGGCACCTGGACCCTTAGGGTAGGGGATTTCCGAAAGCTTTACAGAAAGGCTCAGCCTCAACCCAGGGCCAGGAACCCTAAACCACCCAAGCCCTTCCTCCTTATAAGTACAGTATCAACCCTTGAGGGAACCCTTTAAGGCTCCTTATAAAGTTACCCAATACCAAAAAGGGAACCCTTTCAAGGAACCCTAAAACCCGAAACCTCTGGACCCCAAACCCTAGAGCTTGCAACCCCCAAACTCAAGATGCACCTCAGGAGCCCTTTCAGCAACCCCCAGTACTTCCAGGAATCCTTAAGGGAGCCCTTAAAGGAATCCCAACGAGCCATTATAATTGGGTTTAGGGTTTAGGGTTTGGGGCTTTCAGGCACCTTTGAAGGAACCCCTAAACCCGCTGAACCCTGAATTCTAAACCTTTAAGGCCCTGAAACCTGGACCCCACATCACGAAGAAGTTTCAGTGTGTGCCCAGACCCCCCAAAGGATCTAGAAAGTAGATCCCCTAATTTGGGGCCCTATACTACTAAGGGTACCTTATCGGAACCCCCATTAAGGGAGAATTCTCACAGAACCCCTATTGAAACCCTCAAGTGAACCTTCATAGAACCCTTAATGGAACTGCTGAAGTGCATGCCTCGTTTGCAGCTCATGCCATGTGTACATGTCTGTTTTTCCTTCTTGCTCGTAGGCCCAAGCACAGAAAGCCTTGAGCATGCTTTTAACATCTTTTAACAGAACACATGTACCATAGTTGTAGGTGCCACGCCCAACGTAGCACTAACTTCGGTCTTTTGCTTGCGTGTAAAATCTCCGCCTCTGTGTGAGCCATGTCTGGGAGTTCTGGTGCAGGGGAATTGATCACTCCACTTGTATCTTATTCCCAGCCTGCTGGTTCACACCAGCAGGTTATGAGCCCAACGCTTGGGCAGGGCTATGGCACCACAGCAAATCCATCCCCACCTCCCGGGAGGGATGGTATTCAGACAGGTTCAACGCCAACACTTGTGCATGGCCAAACAGGTGGAATGGGCTTTGAACCTATGGCTACGGGAGGGGCACTTGGAGGCATAGACCAGACTGGGGTTAGCGCAGACTCAGGGGAATGCCACCGGTGTCGACCGCCACTGAAGGCGGTGATGAGGTACAGATGGTTGTGCCGATACCCGGCAATGTCGCGCCGGGCGGGAGCCCAGGGCTAGAGGCCAGCACTGGCATGTTAGGTACCGAGAGTGGTGACGCAGAGCCAGGGGGTAGAGTAGTCGCTGGTGCTTCCACGGAGGGGTTTGTCACCCCACGGTCACAGCAGGGATTGCCAACCATAGCTGAGATGGTTGAGGGCTTCCCTGGTACAGGGCTCCAGCTTATGACGCGAGTTGGGGACTTTTTCCGTGTAGCGCGCACTGAGGTGGTGCAGGTACCCGCAGTGGCGCAAGGCACACACGCCACACCACCACGAGCAATCACATCACAATCACGTGATAGTCCCAGCGGTGTTCCAAGGCAATTGGCTCTGGGAGAAGGGAGTTTGGGTTCGCAGAGTAGCTCGCCACCACAGTTGGGAGCGCATGGTACACCCATTTCCTTTGCACCGCCTCCTGGAAGGGATGGCTCCTTGTTGAGCGCGGACATGTTGCAGCGCATGCAAGCTTTAGAACAGAGGGCCCCCTTACTTTACGGTAGCCTGCCCGAAAAACCCCCATCGAGAACAGACTCATCGTCCCTGCCCCAAGAAGCGATTCAAGCTGAGGTTGCAAGGCAGCTAGCGGGGTTTGATCAACGGGCGCAGGCTCAGGACTTGGAAATACAGAGGATGCAGAGGCAACTGGAGGAGGCGGCCCAAAGGGAACAAGCTCTTAGGGAACAGGTAAGGAGAGAAGTGGCAATGACCAGTAGTGCCCCAATGGCTCCAACGACACCCCTTGCTGAGGTTCCCAGGCCACCCCTTCAGGATGCGCAAGTGCGCACTCCAATAGCGTATCAGGTGCATGATGCTGCAGCGCAGGCGGTTGAGGCTTTGAGAGCGCCCGCTCAAACAGCAGCTTCAGCAACTTCAGGGTTATGGTCCAACTTTTGGTCGGGGTTGCAAGGTTCCCAAAGGTTACCTAGCAACGCAGCGCCACCCGGAAGGGTTGGGCAGCCAAGCAGCGCATTATTGGGTGTGCAAGGGGATTCCACCTCTTCTGGCCCAGACCCCCATTCTCGAGCCGAAAACCCGGGTTTGGGCCAGATCAGGGCTTCGGGCTCTGGTTTCCAGTCAGTTGCTGCCGCTAGTGCCCCAATTCCCCAGGCTTCAGCTGCTCAGGCCAGCACGGCGCCAGTAGGGGCAGCCAGTGTGTCGCCGGGGGGAACCCAAGGCCCTCCCACATCAGGTAACACCGTGCTTGATGCCGTATTGTTGGGAGTGCAGCAACTGCAAACTTTGCAAGCCCAGCACCTTAGCAGTAGCAGGAAGGAGGATGCCCCGGAAACGGTGAAAACGGGCATTACAACCTTTCCCAGACTAGCCCCACCCGATCCAGCTGGAGGCTCGTTGGACTTTCAGGATTGGTTGCAGCTCATTGCGGGCTTGATGAGTGACTTTTCGGATTCTTCTCAACTTTGGTGGTCAGGGGTAGTTCAGGTAAGCAAAGATGCGTACGATAAGTGGGTCGTCGCATCCCCCATCGAGCGCTTGACGCTTGAGCCTGACGAGAGGCCAGAGCTTACAGAAGGCAAGTGGGGGAGAGTGAATGCGCGTGCATGCGCAATGCTTTTGGATGCCCTGGACCCCACAGTGAAATCTGATATCATTGCCCGTAAGGCGAATCAAGCTGCATCGCAAATCTTGTTTAGATTGTACACGACCTACCAGCCCGGGGGAATAGGGGAACGCAACCTGGTGTTGAGCAACTTGCAAAATCCCCATGTGGTGCAGGATGCAGCCTCAGGTGTGTCAGCATTGAGGGCGTGGGGACGGTGGTATCAAAGGTGCATAGACTTTGGTATGAGTTTGCCGGATCCAATGGTGTTGGTGGGAGGCCTAACCTCAATGACAAAGCCCGTCATCTCTAAGGAGCCGGAGGTTTCATGGCGAACCGAGATGGTGAAAAGTGCACTGCAGTTGCATGGTCGACCCTCGGAAGAGGCGGTCAAATCCTACCACAAACATTTGTTGGCCGAGTTTGAGACTTTGGCTGGAACTCATGTTGCCAAAAAGGGTGGATCAGGTAACCTGGCATTGAAGGCAGCTGGTGTTGCTGGGGATAAGCCGGGAAAGGGGAGTGGAGGCAAAGGTGGAGGGAATGCCAACACATGCAAGTATTTCCTTTCGCCAAAGGGGTGCAGGTTTGGAACCAAATGCAAAAGCCCCCACTCCATGAACGAGTTGTCTAAAGCGGAACGGTTTAAGAAGTGCTTGAATTGTGGCTCCGAGGAGCATCGTGCTAAGGATTGCAAGGCAGGTAAGGCGGAACCCAAAGCACCAGATCAGAAACCGTCCGTACAGGCAGCTTCCACATCCTCGGGCCAACCCGTTGTCCAAGCCACGCCAGCGCTCAACATGGAAACCTTCATGCAACAGGCAGTCCAGGCGTTGAGGCAGTTGGAGGCCAATCCACCGTGCAGCGGCACCACGCCGCAAGCCCAGCCGCCTCAACCTCAGCCGGAAGGCTTGAGTACTGCATCGCAGCAGCCCTCAGTGCCACCGGCACCGGCTGCGCCCGCATCGTCTGCACCCAATCCTTCGGTGAGGAGGCTGACGATTCGCTCAGTCGTGCCCGCAAGCTGTTTCCCGGTTTCGGGTCTCCCAAACCGGGACTCCCAACCCCCCCATCAGGAGGCTCCAACCCGGGGGTTGGGAAATGCCAAAAATCAGGGTTTGGCAAACCCCCATTCTCGAGCCGAGAATGGGGGGTTGCTTGAGCCCCCCAAACCCATAGCATATGCGCTTTTGGACTCTGGGGCCACCCATGCCATGAGGCAGGCGATGGATGAGGAGGAGTGGGAGGCCGCATCGGAAGTACAAGTGAGTTTAGCCGGCGATACCACCACAACAATGCGGCTCACATCCTCAGGTACTTTGCTCCTGCCTCCCGGGAGGGATGGCCTAGTGCAGCCAATAGTCCCAATGGGCGCAATCATCGAGCAACTTGGGTATAAATTGGTTTGGTCAGCCGGTAGTTGCAAGCTGTATCCTCCTGATGGTAAGTCGTTGAGGCTTAGGGTCAAAAACGGTTGCCCGGAATTGGTTGAGAGCCAGGCCCTCACGTTGATATCACGGTTGGAGGAGCACAAAATGCAACAGGTTGAGGAGCTCAGGCGAAGAACGGATGAGGGGAAGGATCGCATCAGACAGGCGAAAATCGCGATGCAGCGCACATGGTGGGATCATTTGGTTGAGCATGTTAGCTCGTCAGCGCCAGCAGCGGGCCACATGGCAGTATCCACGGCGCCATTCTTTCAGGATGTGCCCGATCGTGCATTGTCAGGCCTACTCCCATCGGAAGATGTGGACTCCAAGACTTTGTGGAAAGCTCTTGAAGAAGGTATGCCAAACCTCAACCGGCGAAGGAGGAAGGCACTTCATCGAGCATCCAATTGGGTTGTGCACTTGTTTGCGGGCCCTGGCTCGCACAAGGCTTTCAAACGATTGGAGTCGCAGGATACAGTTGTTGTTGAGCTTGACATTTGCCGCTCAAGGAGCCAAGATCTTTACCATGATCCGCTTTGGACGCTTCTTGCTAAGGTTGCAAAGTTGGGACGAGTTGCGGCGGTCATTGGAGGTCCACCAACCCGCACGTGGTCCATGTCAGGGCACCGCGCCGATGGACCACATCCACTCCGCTCGCCCAC